GCTTGGGTCCTGGCCGATTTTGTGACCCGATAGATTAAGGAAGGATGAACACAGTGCGAAGACGTCGTCAACAGTCTGGCATATGGGAACGTTATCCGCCCAATCATCCCAGTAGAACCTGTAGTCGGTTCCATCGTTTGTATCTTCTTTATCGAGTTGAGCCCACCGGAGAACTCGGCGCGGTGGCGCCTGTGCCAGTCGAATTTGCCCCTTCGGCACACCGGACTGATCATGGTTGAGTATCTGCTTCTGCTCTTTAAGCACTTCTACCGAGGGTAATGGGCGTAATGAAGAATAGACCTTGCCAAGACAGTGGTGCAGAATGCGGTGGATGAATTCAGGGAGTTCGGGGTAGACATCCATAAGCCAGGGGAATTTGCTCAGGATGAAAAGAGACTCGGGGAGGGCACCAATTGCAAGAAGGCTCTTTAGAAGCATCACTTTCTGGTCAGAAGGCTCAGGAAGCTCGTCCTCCTCCGTCTTCGCGCCTGTGGATTTGTCCGTTTCCTGGTCTTTTCCAGGAGTCGCAGATCGGGTTTCGGATTCGCGGATGCGTGGAATAGGTAGGGTGTCGTCGGATAAAGCACCAGCCATCATCAAGGCATTGATGCCACCTCCAGGCCGTGCTGCCCGCTCACGATCGGCCTTCTCCTTGAGCTTCTCCTCCTTGAGCGCATCCATTGAATCATCTGGCCTCCAGAGGTGCGGATACAGATCACGTAGTGAAATGAAACCGACTTTAATCAGTAGAGCCGCAAGGTAGATGAGGTTGTCCGGAAGGACATCGGATTTAGCGCGAGCGCGGGAGGAATAGAAACGAAGCTTGAAACCAAGCAACTGTGCTGCTACTCGACTTCCCTTGGGAGGCAGTGTGCCGGTTTCCTCAATCCATTTACGCATCTCCTTTTCCTCTTCCGAAAGACTGTTGCTTTCCGGAAGAATTCGCTGTAGCTCTTCCTTGGACACAGGCCGGCGGCCAATTTCAAAGAAAGCACGAATTCCGATTTCTCTGACTCTGTTCCAAAATTCGTGATCTCGTTGCTCGTTCGCTTTCATTGCTTCAAGTCGTTCCTCATCGGTAGTCACCCATCCGGAAGATCCAGGTAAGGCCCAGTTGGGAAGGCCAGAATCACGGTTACCTGCATCAACTGTGCGGAAGGCATCCTCTTTCGGCCACCAGGAGCTAGCCCGCAGGAGCTTCACAAAGAAGCGGTACTGCTTAACAAGAACAGCAGCAAATACGTCGAGAGTAACATCAAGAACACGGCCCACATCCATATCAAACGCGCCAATCATCGCCTTCACCCTCTCAAAAGTGTCCTCGACAACTTCGCTGGAGGGGGGCTCATTATTACTCGTCGTGAACAGCTCCGTAAGCAGTTTGGAGTACCCTTCAGACTCTTCCCGCAGAAGGTTGTAATTCGATTGCCGATAAAGAAGGTTCGTCTGCTTGCGGATGCCCATGCGGGTGAATGTTTCGCGGACAAGTCCCAGGGACTGAAGGAGTTGGGTGTCGAGTTGGAGGCGCATAAGAGCGGAGTTAATCCCCGTAGAGAACACGAGCGGTCTCAGGGCACTATTAGAAGTGTCGGAATCGGTGAGAATTGATAGGGTGTCCAGGAACAAGGAGCGAGTGTCGAGGAGGGCTTGCGCTTGTCCTTCATTCTGCATATCAACATCCTCTGCAGCAACCTCTTCGCCAATGATGTCCCTAACTGCAGCTCCAGCTTCCTCCGGTGATAGACGACCGTATAGGGCGGACCGTATGAGTTCCTGGTATATCGAAGCGAGTGCGGCGGCATCTTGCGCATCTTTCACTTGAATACCCCTCTCGACGAGATGCTTCTTTCCAGTCGTGGCCCACTCGTCGATGGCGTTTTGTGTAACATACTCGTAGTCGTAGGGTGGGGGAGGCCCGGGAGGAGGCTGGGGAGCCGATGCCTGAGCTTGCGGGGCAGGTGCCGGCATGGGAGTAGGCGCGGGCGACGGATTGATGTGTGTTTGTGGTTGAGATGAGGAGGGAGAGGGTGATGGAGGGGGCTTTTGGTGATCTGTTGTCGGAGGGACGCCGTTTGCCTGGCTTTGGTCTGAGACATCTTTCGCCGGAGTTGTGCTGGGCGGGGACATGGCATTATCCCTCCGACCACCAGGAGGGTTCTGACCGTCGGTGCTGGGCCTGCGACCCATGCTATTCCTTCCACCCCGACTGGATTGCCTTCGTAATCGACCGCGCGCGTCAGAGTAATCGCGAGACTGCGGACCGTAGTTGTGTTGCGCCATGTTGAGATTGCCCGGCCGATGGGGCGATGGTCGTTGACCGTCGTTCCCTGAATCGCCAGACCACGATCTATCACCTCTCTTTCTCTTTCCTCCGGCACCTGGAGCCATGACAGCCCGATTGGAGCTAGAGTGCGCGGATAGAGAACCGATGTGTTCCCGACAGGTCGCAATTCATGCGGCGAACCTAGATTTCCGAGGTCAGCTTCCTTCACGTGGGACCACAGAGCCGCAATCGGTCGGATCAATCGATGAAACGCGGTTTAGGGGACTATTAGAAACAACCTGCTGTGGAAAACTCATACGGCGGAAGGAGGGAAAGGACGATGCCTGGGGAAGACACAAAGATCGCTGGTCGGATCAAAGAACGTAATGGCAGTGAATGCACGGGTAGCAGTAAAGGCGGCGGCGTTTACGGGCGGGTGTCGCGCCTCAGTCGCTTAGTCTCGAGAAGCTCCGCGCTAGGCTTTTTCGGTGTTACCCGCCTGAGGCATTTGCCTTTAATCACAGAACTCATCAGGATTATTTGCTATTTGCTACAAACAATATATCACTTCGTTTCGGGGTAGGTTCTATCCCTTGAAAGTGGTGATGAACACCTTACAAAACTCATATTTCATCTTAAATATTATCATGTCATTCATCATATCAATGCGTCGTAGTTGGCTACATAAATTTCCGAGCTCCCTCACAGCAAGCCCAAAGCCTTGGCTTCAATGTCAACAATCTCAGGAATAAGCTCCTTCAGACTGGGACGGTGGGGGTTCCAACCCAACAGCTTTCTACCACGGTAGGAAGTACCGCGAGAGCTGCTACCCCAGGCATACAGGCCAAATTGGTTGGTCTCAGTAACCTGTTCGTCGGTCAAGGGCTCAACCTCAGGGGACGGGATAAGCTTCTTCTCATAAGCAACCTGGGCCACCTGCTTCTGAATGTCACCCCAGCAGAAAGGACCGTTCTCTGCTAGGTAGTAACCCTTGTCGTTCCAAGTGGCCTTGCCACCGCCCGCAGCAGCAGCCTCACTCAGCAGAAGGTAAAGATCACTCAGATCCTGCACGTGGATTTGGTGCCAGATGTTCTTACCCTCACCGACCTGCAGACCCTTCTTGCGCTTCAGAACAGCAGAAGCCAGCCAGTATGCCTGCACACTCTTCTGGTTGCAGGGTCCACGGCCCGGTCCGTAGATGGTAGGCGGGCAGACGATGGCAATCTTCACACTGTCGGGAGCACGCTTGCCAGCATTGATGACGATCTCATCGACATTGCGGTGGAAGGAATCAGCAGGAAGGTTGAGGAGCTCGTCGACACCATCCCAGTCATCATGTTGCTTGGCACGTTCCAGACCCCAAGTGTTGCTACGGAAGTCCTCCACAGTCAAGATACCGGTTCCAGAAGTGTGGATCCACCACACTGGTCGGTCAGGGGTGTGGTGAGTGGCACCCTTTGCAATTGCTTCGGCGGCAGCGACATGATCACAGTCGGCACAGTCTAACCATGGCCCGTGAGTTATACATTCAAGTTACAGAGAGAGCACGTGAGCAGGGACTCGGGAACGTACGGAGGACAATATCTGCGTTCTTGACCTCCTCCTCAATGATATCGGCCGAGTCAAGGTCACCAAGCACAATCCTTACGTTGGGGTACTTGCTGGTAACCTGGGCAGCCTTGTCCTTGTTGCGCACCAAGACGGAGTACTGCCAGTCCGGATGAGCCTGGTAGACGTCGTAAAAGGTGTCTCCGCCGATGTATCCAGTTACACCTGTACTGCAATATACGGGCAGCGGCCGTCAACGAGTGTACTAACATCTTTGAAGAAAGCGGAGACCTACAGGAAAACCTTTTGGGGAGCCATCTTGCCGTAGTAATCGTAAGAAGGTCGGGAAAGGATGGATAATGAATCGCTGGGGAAAGAGTGCTACTAGAAGTGGGGGAGGGGAGCTCGACTTTTATAGCTTGATCAAAACAAAAAGAGCGACCAACTGCCACTTCCAGCTTAAGCTCCGCTATGCTTTGAAATCAAGAGTGGGCAAAATGGATCCTCTCTGGTGCAAGAATCAATCAGAGGTTGCAGACCTGGGCAAAAGTGGGGGTGGGGGTACCAGAAGTAGCTATCCCCATCAATTGCGGGCTTCGTTGTGCTTCCAGTCTTAACTGGAATTGATGGCTTGGAGCATATTTCTGGTTCCACAGAATGAGCTTTCGGCACGAACCCTTAAATTGACAAGAGTCAAATCCTCCTGACAGTATACTACTATCACATTGATCCTGATAAAGGGTTAGGTGTTCTGGGGATGGAAAAATGAGTACCTTAGTTACCCCTCATGACGTACGTGGGCGGGGCTGAAGCCCAACGAATTCAACAACTGGCCAGTTCTCGGTCGACTACAAGTAGACCGGCGCCTCGCTGGTACATTGCTTCGGTCGCAAATGATAAGGCCACAATTACCACTTGAAGAACCGGGGTGACAATATGGAAGTATAACCGAGAGGCTACAGTTTTTGTATAAAGTAGACGTACATATACTCTTCTTTGAACGGAGACAAAGTTCAAGGGAATGGTACAGCAGAAAAGATAAAGCAGAGTGGCTGGATTGCAAAACTCAAAGGTGGCTTATTTCAATAGAAAACCGGCATCAAAGGGGAATCTTGCACAGAATCATGCCTATAATCTACAGTCGCTTAGAAAGTGCTCGTGGCCAGGCGACTAGCCGCGTTACGAGCGTCAAGGCGATCATCGTCGTCTTCCTCCACAATCGAGCTCACACCACTGGCAGAGCGCAGGCGCCCTTTACCGGTGCCGTGTCCGTTGACTTCTTCGTCGTCTTCAGTTGGGGTGGGTGCAACGAAACTGCCACTGAGACTCCGGCCAAGGCTGTCGCTGCGACGCGGTATGCCGCTCCAAGCATCCCCCTTGGGGCCTTGACTTGAACCAAGGTTAGGTCGGCGAGCGGTTGGGTGGGATTCACGTCCTAGACGGCTGAGTCCTCCCGAAGCGTCAATGGCTCGAATATCAGGTCGCACACTCTCCAAGGTAGCGAGGGTCCTCCGTTCGGATTCAATCTGGCGCAGCGTATACTCGCGGAGGCTGGCCAGCATGTCGTTAGTCGTCCGGTCAAACCAACGTTGCTTCTCGGCGAGTAAGTTCGACGTAACCCGCTGTGTTCGCTTCGTCAGGTAGTCCTCGTGGCCCTGAGCCTCATCCAGGGCATTGATGGCCTCGTCCACCTTGTCCGGGCGGACGGAGGAACTGACTTTGAGGCGATCAGCGGCGGCGCGTTTGCTCCTTGTTGCCTGTTGAGCTTGGATCAAATCACGAAGGAGGATGTGGCGATTTGTAAGAGTCTCCTTGACAATAAAGGCATCGGACGAGTGGTAGCTTAGCGGATCCCCCAGTGTTGTGGCCTCCGCAGTCGCCTGGACGGCATGGAAATCCCCGACCGTTTGGATGATCTTTCCCAATTTCCGGTATGCATTTGACAGTCCAGGGTGCGTCTCTTGCACGTGCATCTGGCCTAACTTAACACCAAAGTCGGATTCTGCGAGACCGAGTCCTGGATAGCCCAATGTTAGTTCCCATGATCATGAGATACGAATCCCTGGCGCATACCTCGACGGGCTTTGACGACACGGTCAACCTTGTGACTAGTATCCATTGTTCCAAGATAGAACATCTTTACAATCGGACGCGCATTTTGTAATTCGGGTGTGTCATCGGGGGGTGGCGCGAACTGCTTCAAGACCTTCCTTCGAACCCCAGTCGCAGGTTGTTTCATCCGAACTACAGGACTGTAACCGAAATCACTCTCAACGAACAGGACCACCTCATCGTCATGGATGAGAACTTCATTGCTCAATACAACATTCAACCACCGTTGCAAAGACGACTTGACTCTGATTTCATCCTCTTCGGTTCCAGCGCCGGCAGGGGTAAGTGGTGGGGGGACCGCAGGAACCAACGCTTCCGGGTTAGCCGAAATCAGATGGTCCGCAAGCTTGACAAACTCGGCATGGGTACGACGAACGTCTCGATACTGTGTTGTCCTAAACTTGGGGATATTCGTCTGGAGCCTGTAATCAGTAGGCGCAGGGCGAGGCAAGAAAAGGATATCGCTCACGTGAACATCAAATCGAAGAATAGGGTCCTTCTTGCCCGTTCTCTCTAGCCCCGTGACTTTCGCCTGGATTCTATACACAGGTGCGGGTTGTCTGGGATTCTGTCTTGGGCCCGTTTGGTAGCGGGCGGGGAGCTGAGAGCGAGGCTGTTGTCCATGCTGCTGCTGAGTGTGTTGCGAGTGCTCATCAACATAGCCCGGCTCACCCAGTTGTGCACCCTGCAGTCGCGCAGACAAGTCGGGCGATCCAATCTCGTTCTCCTGGAACCCAGGAGTTTCGGTAGGCTGCGATTCGGCATTGTAAGGATCTTGGGGAGGCAAGGGGGCAGGGGGGATGTCGCTAGTCACGGAAGCCGGAAAGGTTGTTTGGGTCGGGCGAGGTGAAGCCCATGGAGAAGTGCCCGCAGGATGATCAGGATCGTTTGATATGGCGGAATAGTCCATCGTGGCTGTCTTGGTCTAATGGGACCACGTCTACACCGCGCTGCGGGTGCGCAATCATCAGTATTGTCTCGTCCGGGACGGTTATCATTGTGGATCAATTGATGTTCACCTAATAGTGCTCAAAAACAATTGAGGAGAGGAAGATGCCGAAAACTCTCAAGAATTCGGGCTTGACTAAAGGAGAGGCAGATGCAAGCGTTGAGATGGGGGAGGGGAAACTGTTCAACTGAGCGGAACGGGATGGACTTCGGAGGTTACGTCGTTGGTGCCTATGCAGCCTGATTGGCCAGGCATCTGCGGCCCCGGTCACTGGACCGGAAAAGCTTCAACAGCTTCATCCATACCTCCAGTTACTCCGCATACATACTACCTTTCGAAGGGCTGGGCCTTTCTCTTTTCTACAATTATCATCCTTCTCTCTGTTCTTCTTGAGGATGTATGTCAAGTTCTAGGCCCCATATTCCGCCAATTCATTGTCTCCGATTACATAGACAGTTGCCGTCCCCATGGTTACAGCTCTTTTCTTGCGCGCCTCTCACCAGACGGTGCGGCCAACTGGCCTCCGGCAATGCCAGGCAGCTGCCAGCCGTCTGGGGTGTAATGCGTCCTTGATTCCAGGGGTCAAGAAGGGGCAATTTCCTAAGATCCAGATGCTCTCAACGTCTGCATCCAAATTGCAGGCAGACACCCTTGACCGAACTAGAAATATAGGTATCATCGCACATATTGATGCCGGTAAAACAACGACCACTGAGCGCATGCTCTACTATAGTGGCTTTACCCGAAGAATTGGAGATGTGGACGAAGGGTCCACCGTCACAGACTTTCTCCCTGCGGAACGCGCTCGCGGGATCACAATTCAATCTGCCGCCATCACCTTCCATTGGCCGCCTCAAGCGGCTGGTGATCAAACTACAACCCTTCAAGATAATCCGCAAACCCCAAGGTCTGCCACTTCCCATACAGTAAATCTAATCGACACTCCTGGGCATGCCGACTTTACCTTTGAGGTTATGCGTTCTTTGCGCATCCTAGACGGGGCGGTGTGTATTCTGGACGGCGTCGCTGGCGTCGAAGCTCAAACGGAGCGAGTATGGCACCAAGCGAGCACATATCGTATTCCCAGGATTGTCTACATTAACAAGCTGGACAGAGACGGTGCAGCTTTTGGGCGTACGGTAAGAGAGATAAGCTCCCGGCTTGCGGGCTACCCCGCTGTCTGCCAGGTCCCATGGTTCGAGGGCGGAAATGGTCGCTTTGTTGGAGTTGGCGATGCGATCAACTTGCAGGGTCTCCGCTGGCAAGATGGGGACGGTAAAGCGGTCAAAATGTTCAACCTCCAGGAGCTGGACGGCGAGGAACCGGGGCTTGCACAGGAGATCAAACGCGCAAGGACAGCACTTGTCGAGCTGCTTAGCGAGCATGATGAGACTATGATTGAGAAGTTCTTTGAGCATGACGAAGACCATCTCGCAGTGCCTCCCAACGACATTCTAGACAGCTTGCGCCGGTGCCTCTTGCAAGAACAGGGTAGGAAGATTATCCCCATCTTCGCAGGCGCTAGCTTCCGCAACATCGGTGTCCAGCCTCTCCTTGACGCCGTGACGAACCTTCTTCCTAGTCCCCTCGAAACCCCTGACGCAGAGGTGAGCATCGGCGGCGTCAGCGGAGGTCTTCGGAGCCTCCTCTCCGGTGATCTATTGGTTGAACAGAGCGAAAAAGCAGCCACCTCCAAAGGGAAGCAAAAAAAGAAGAAGTCCGTCACTCAAGCTGAATCACAAAATGCTATCGAGAAGCTTCAGAGCTGTGCGCTTGCTTTTAAGGTAGTCAATGATGCCAAGCGGGGAGTCTTGGTTTATGTGCGCGTGTACTCAGGTTCTCTGGACCGAAACAGCGCTATATTCAACACCAATCTCAAGATCACTGAACGTGCACCGCGCTTACTGAAGATGTACGCCAATGATGCTGTCGAGGTGGATTCCATCCCTGAGGGACACATTGGCGTTGTGGCTGGCCTGAAGCATGCTCGAACTGGAGATACACTAGTCTCATATGCGGGCAACAAATTAACACCACCAGAACCACTTGATACCCTCCAACTACGTCCTATCCAGGTGCCGCCCCCCGTTTTCTTCGCCAGTATCGAGCCGCACAGCCTAAGCGAGGAGAAGAAGATCCATGAATGTCTAGCCCTACTCCTACGTGAAGACCCAAGTCTTCACGTCACTGTTGACGAAGACTCTGGGCAAACGCTCCTAAGCGGCATGGGCGAGCTCCATCTCGAGATTGCCCGAGACCGCCTGATCAACGACCTCAAAGCCAAGGCAACAATGGGCCGCATTGAAATCGGCTACCGTGAATGTCCGCTCGGAGAGTCGCCTGTTGTCACCAAAATGTTCGACAAAGAGATCGCCGGCCGCAAAGGCAAAGCCGGCTGCACAGCAGTAGTGGAACCTTTCGACCCGGATAACGCACCTCCAGTACCCGAAGACGCGCTCTCGGTTGAGACCAAAGAGGGCAATCAGATAATCATCATCGCCCCGGAACTGCAGGTAGAAACCAACCGCAAAGGCATCGAGGAAAGCCCCGTACTTCCCCCAGGCCTAGATATGCAATCCTTCCGCGCCTCCCTCCATAACGGCTGCCTTGCTGCCCTTGCTCGCGGCCCTCAGTTCACTTTCCCTATGCACCACACCCGCGTCACCCTCACCATCAACCCAACCGAACACCTCTTCGGCACCGATACCACCCCGGCCGCCCTCTCCTCCGCAGCACGTCTAGCCACCTCCGCCGCTCTCCGCGACCTCCTCTCGTCCGGCCCAGGCACCTCCCTAATGGAACCCGTTATGAACGTCATCATCAGCATCGACGAAGCCAGTCTCGGAGCCGTCGTACACGACATTTCTTCCTCGCGCGGCGGCCACATCGTCTCCCTGGACGAAGAAATCCCCCTCACATCAACCGACCTCTCCGCGTCCCCGCAACCGGTCGAGGACCTCCCACCCATCGACCCGAAGAAGGTCTACGCCCCCGCGGACCCATTCGAGTCTGGTTCCGTTGGTGCCTCCCTCCCGGACACAGCTAACCGGCCCAGAACCATTACGGCCAAGGTACCCCTCAAGGAAATGGTTGGGTACTTGAAACACCTGCGTAGTTTGAGTGCCGGTCACGGTACATTTGTGATGAGTGTTGATCGGTTCGAGAAGATGAGTACCCCGCGACAGAAGGCTGTGTTGACGGAGCTGAGGGGTGGGTTTTAGCAAGGTTGATTTTCACTACCTTCTTTCCCCCCATTCTTCTACTATATCACATCTCTCCCTGGATACGCTGTATATTATAACTTCATGGGTTGGTCAAAGCTTAGATAAAATTTCGAAGTGTGTACAATACATCTTGACATCCAGGAAAGACTGGCTGTATATCATTTGTTCTTCCAATGTTGAATTCGGGAAACTTGATTGAATAACTCAATTAGTATGAATAGTCAGTAACTGTCTCGCTTCGTTCCTTACTAGTCTCAGTCTAATCAACACAATCAGTGAGAGAATAATGGGTTAATAGTAAGAGAATAGTAAGGGAATGGTGAGAGAATAGTGAGTCACAACTTTTACTAAATATATATCCGAACACACAGTCTCCACAGCGGTTGATCATCTAAACTCCTATCCGAAGGCCAATATAGAAATGCAAAAGATAAAGTCAATTCCGCTGAATTCATAATGCACCGCAAAACCACAATCCAGATCGAACTACAAGTTCGATTGCACACCAGCCGACGGCAAAAGCTGTGTTCTAGCTGGAATCACCCCAACCCTGGCCATCCGGTCAAACGCCAAGAGATGGCCCTTGCCTACCGACCTCTCCTCCATGAACCCAATACTACGGATCTTATCCAGACTGAATTCGCGATTCCGGTCCAGTAACTTGAAACCCGCGTAGACAAATAGCCAGGTGTCTGGTCCGATCTGTCGCTTCTGCAGACCGTATTCCTTGCACATGCGGTCATAGTCGTCCTGGTGGTCGTACCACCACTTGTCGATCGCTGCGTAGTCCGTCTGCGTTGGTCTTATGGCCTTCAGGCCGAAGTACTCGGCGAGGATAGGCCACTTGACGCACCATGGGCCTGGAGTGGCCGTGTCTGCGATGTTGAATGCTTCTCCGTTCGCTTCATCAGGTTTCACTACCGATAGGTAGATCTCTGCTCGAGAGATTATGTCCTGGGAGGAGTCTGTGAAAGTGTAGACATAATTGGTGGGCGTGCCTGGGAACGGAACTGTAGCGCCGTAGCCATACACGTAGCGGTAGAGAGAGAGGTAGAGAGCTATTGGCTCTACTGTGGTCATGCTTGTGGTGCTGGGGACATGGCCTGGATAAGTAGATTTCTCGTTAGCCCTATGTATGCTGTGTCACATTGCCAGACGTATCAATAATACCTATGATTTGATCTGGGCGGACTTCACACCATCTCCAGCTTTTCCCTTGAGCTGCTTCTCGGATCAGGTCAACCTGGCCATAGTAGAAAATCTCGTCACCGTATGGGGATGGGACACGCGGGGCGTCTTCCCTCAGGGGTGTGTTGAAGGTGAGCTTGTCGATGTGTTGGAAAGCCGCGACGCCGTAGTGCTATTCCAGTCAGGTTTACTGAAGACATGAAATTGGTTCAGGGGTATAGCATACATTGGTACCTGTTTGCAGCACGAAGAAGGTCATGTTCTTACACAGGGTATCGCAGGCATGGACAGCATTGTAGGTCATGACGACGTTGATGTCCTTGATATCCATGACATTTTCGGTGTATGCAGTAGCATTGGAGTACGCTGAGCTGTCAGTAAGAGATATTCGCACCATTGCTCTGCGCGGTCACCTGCAAATAACCGATGTCTTACCGAGATAGTATACATGAGTGACCTGGTCTAGCTGCGGGATTGTTTCACGCATCTGGGTCATTACTTCGTCCAGGCTACCTCGCAGGTTAATGCCTGAATACACCTCCAGTCTCGGATCATCGGGGAGGCCTAGTTGTACCCGCGTTTGGGGTCGATGCGTCAGGCCGATCACCCGCGAAAAGGTGCTGCGAGTTGGATATTCCAGCAGGCTCCTAGTCACGGCCCAGCCAGATATTCCACTGGCGCCAAAAACCAACGCAACTTTGTCGCCAGAGATGCTGCCCATTGTGAACCACGCTGCGAAGGATAGAATGAGATACGAGTGGAGAGGAAGAAAAGGGTTTCCTTTACACCCCCTTTTATTGTTATAATTCTACGACCCTGTGGAATAGGTAGACAGAGAATGACCCGCTATTAATGATGACAGTTGTAGGGGATTGGTCGTAAGGTCTGCCGTGCCACCCTAATCCAGCGGGCGACATACAACCCCATGCCTCCTGAATAGGCGAGATACCAGATTCAGTAATACCTGGAGCCTGGCAAATAATATAGTGTTGTATTAAGAGACAAAGGCCATTATAACACACGACGGAGGCTGTTAGTGGATATAGCCTAGAGGAATTGAAACAAACACGTCCAGGCTGGCGCTGGTTCCAAGCCTCTGACACGTATAGTGGAATGCCTTACAATGCCCGGACATGGCCCGGTCTGTGAGTTAGATTAATGATGGGATCGACTGTGCACATGCTTTCCGTTGCCAGCTACTGTGTCCAAGTTTCCCTTGCCCTAGTTAGGTTTTGGATTGGCCCTCATATCCACCCGTGAGCGCACCATTTTTAAGGCCGTTCCTTCGCCCCACCAGGCCGCAACGAACCGGTCTTTTGCCTCAGCTGGCTAACAAGGTGGGATTCATTTAGACTAGGTCCGGCGACCCGTAGTGCTTTCATTTGTGGGTTTAGTTCCACGGCCGAGATCCCGTTGCGCCTTATGGCAGCCTTCGGAATTGCGGGCTGGTTTTTAGATGCGCCCAAAGAGAGTTGCTTTAGTCACGAGACTTCCCTCTATCGAAATCAGTAAAGCCATGTGGTAAACCTGAAGTCAGGTCAGAAGTAGTGGGTACTAGACTGAGAGGGAGGGAAGAAGGAAGAAAGAGAACAAGCAAAGGGGGAGGAGACATGAGAGACCACCAAAAAAGCTACGTGACAGGGCGCTAGACCCATTATAGGACCAGGATCAAGCCATCCCGCTGTGGGCTCTCAACTAAACCACTCATCGACAATAAAACTAAAGTGCATCTAGTCCGCGATGCGATTCACCCGTGCTTACGGTGGGACCTGATCCTAGATATATCTCCTGCCTTCATTGGCTGTGCATTCTCTCGGCCTCATTTGATCGGCCCATGAACGTCCTTTGTCCAACCCGAACTCCGAGGCAGGAAGTACCATTGTAAAGTGTTGATCCTTTCCTTCCGGCCGAGTACTATAGTAGCTAGCGACAACATAACAGCATCCTTGTACTTACACCCATCGTAGGCCAATCAAGTACTTGAGGCTCCCCTGCTAATTTGCCCCCTCCACAGAAGTCTGGAACATTGGCCTACCGGCATGATCCTGGTTAGTTAGGCCAATGCAATCAGCCGTTTTTTTCAGCTCCAAAGTCGGTCTCAGCCAAAGTAATATAAAAGAATGGCGCACTTTGATCGCGAGCGAGGCCTCTTGGGCATTGGCTGTCGTTGCAGGGACTCAAGATGCTGTCGCGATCGCTGGGAAAGGGAACGTCCTTCACAGGGCAGCAAACGACAGTGCTTGGAATTGGAGTAGCATTTATGGCATTTACCTCCGTTGTAATTGCCCTTCGCGTCTATGTAAGAACGCTTTTGCTGCGTGCGTGGGGTGCTGATGACGGTGAGCCGACTATTGTACCTAGGTCCTTTGATAAATCTAACGAACATGCAGTGCTCATGGTGATCGGAACGGTAAGCCAGATAGTACCATTTCGATGTTCCGTCAAGTTGTTGACCTCGGGGTCAGATACTTACATACGGTCTTTCTATCGCCTCAATTGTGGGTAGGTCCAGGCACGTACATACGTCTTAAGTAATTGAGTTACTGACCGTGGCAGCTGCATACTATGGGGTTGGAAAACACTGTACGTCTTCTACTGATTTGCTTGACTTGACGTCTTCTAATGTGAACCAAGATTCAGATGTTCATATTGAAGACCGGATTCCTATGTTCAAGGCAAGTTATAACACTAATACCGAGGAAGACGACGACCCACTGACTATAACCAGTGTATATGGGCTACACGCCTCCTCTACGTGCTCGGCCTGTGCTTCATCAAGCTATCACTTCTTTGGTTTTATCTCCGGCTGGAAACACGACGTTTTATGCAATGGCTTGTGTACTCGGTCATCTTCATCGTTCTAGGGGTATCAATCTCAAGCTTCTTCGTTGATACACTCTCCTGCATACCTCCTTCTAAATTTTGGAATTCTACCAAGTCCGGACATTGTATGTCAACGGCGTCCCAGCAGAAGTTCTACGAGGTCAATGGCATCCTCGTCATTGTCATGGATATTCTCATCTGGGCTGTTCCCATTCCGATGCTATGGCGTGTTCGTATCTCTTTGGTAAGTACAAAGATACCATTTCCAATTCTTTGCCACCTCTTGATTAACATCTTACAGCGCAAGAAGATTGCAGTACTGGGAGTTTTCAGCGTGGGCCTTCTGTCTATAGCTGGTAGGTTGCTCATTACATTATCCGTGCCTTTTTGTTTATTTCTCTTTCGTCTCTTTTTTCCCCTTAAAACAGTTTCGGATTAACCAATGCAGCTGCTTGCGTGAGATACAACACCGTCTTGCAACTAGCCAACAATCCAGATGAAACATACGTCCTCGCTGCCTCGCTTAACTGGTGTGGCATCGAAGCCTACGTCGGTACGTACCATTTTTCCTCCCCGACACGTCAGGCTTCGTACTAATGGATCATCCCGTAGCCATATTCTGTGGCTCCACTCCGGCATTATATGTCTTTGTGAAGCGTTACCTCCCACAAATTCTGGGCCCCTCCTACGCGCACAATCCAACTTACCCGGGACAGAGCAATGCAAAGAGATTCAGCGCACCTTTCTGCAGAGTGTCCCGTCAAGATGTGAGCGAAAGCCGGCTAGGAGAGAGCCAAGATGCATTACATGATGGGGATGGCATTATGCTTAAGACAGACATTCACTGGGAGGTCACTGATATAGATGCGGAAGGTCGAGTGGACTCGCACCATGTAAATATATGAAGGGTTGCGCCCTCTAATCTGAACAGCAGATGATATCAATGTGAGGAATTTGTGACTGATATATGGCGGCATGTCTGTTAAAGAATGTGACAATTGCAGGCCACAATGTGGAAGGATCTCAGACCCACCAGACTAGTAAATTCCGTCACCGTCTTTTTGTCGTCTGGAATTTAACGGTTTACTGCTTATTCTAAGGAATATCTTCATGTGTTTCTCTCCCCTCCTCTTGGCAGGGACTTCTCCAGTCGCTTAGAGCCGCCTGCCTTCCTGCATCTCCGCCGTTTGTCCCACGGAACGTTGTCGCATCATCTTTCCCAATTACTATCGCTTTACCGTCCTCTCTACACTAATCTGCAAATACCAAACACACTACTACCTCACTCCAAACATCCCAACTGCTTCCGACCCTTCCGGCTACACTAAATTTGAAGCATGCTATCATAATCGCTCGAGCCCAACAAATTCCCGTCACTCGGGCATCCCCGCCATCACCATGAATTCCTGTTAGTCACTTTTACCCCCAACCTCACCCTCTAGTCCCAAGTTATTAGCCTCGGTGGATCATAAATCATAATATAGATTATTAACAACCAACTAGTCTTTCACTCAACCAAGCACGCCAAGACTTCATACTATCACATCCCCTCCACCGTCAACTTAGATGACGTCCAACAAATCCTCCACAACCACTCCACCCTTGCAAACATATTTTGGCCCCAAACCGTTAACGATCCAGAAAACCTCATCTTCGAAAACCAAACTGGCCCTAGCACTACAGAAATTCAAATTGGCCCAGCATCAGGTTCAAATCCCGGCCCTTCCGCGACAAAATGCAAAGCTCGCATGATTTCTCACCACGAGGCCAGAGAGGTTGTCGTTGAGGAGGAAATGCCTCTCGGGCTTCGGATGACCCTGGTGTATAGGGTTTCTGATGAGCCTCCCCAGGGTATCTCGGCAGAAGAAGGTGACGGTCTGCTCGCGTTGGCTGACTCGCAGCCCTCCACGTCGCTTTCGCCCTCTGGGTCACGAATAGGGCTGTATCTCGAGGTAGAGAGATCTGTAATGGCACCGAGGCCTCTCTCGATGCTGGTCAAAACGACGGAAGGGCCGGTTGTAAAGACGAAGAATCTGTTGTTCGTTTTGGACGAGTTAGGGAACGGGAGGGACTTGGATGCTGTGTTGGGTGCTCTTAATGATGGACTGGGGGAATCGGATGATGAAGGAGAGGGGGTGTTGGAGAAGTATAAGGCGGATTGAGACGCATATAGCCACCTATTCTTTGGAAAGTTTAAACCTAGCCGCTACTATATAATCAAACCTTGGTGGGCTAAGATCATCTTTTCAGTGCCGTGCCTGCTACAAACTACTAATACGGAACGGTGATCTTGGAGAATCAATTGATTAACTGCTGAACCAAACAGACCCCCGTCCCTCTATCCAAGCCAGAGCGTCTCGCATCTGACCAAAACTCAATTCCGGTGCATTCCCATCCCAGGAAGGGTGAAGGAAGACGGTGATAGTGCTAGTGAAGGCAAAGACATGAATACCACTGAAATGATTGGTAATAATTCCAGAGCCGAGGACGGGAATGAAGCCCTATTACCTCTTCCTGAAGATTCACCGTACTCGGATAGGTAATATATAAATGTCCCCATTTCCCTTCGCAGCTTCTTCTCTTTTCTTCCTCCTACATCCTCATCTTCAGTCTTGGCCTTGCTGCATCTATAACATTAAATTAATAAGCTTCATAAAATTATGAATATGATCATCTACTGATAATGTGAATATATAAAAGTCTACCGTACCTTACTATCTTGGGGTCTCGAGAAGACTACTGCCATAATATGGATTATAAGAAGCATGAGGCAGGCCCTGCGCCGCTTATTCCAAAACATTATCTCTTGATAGCTTATGCCTCTTCACCAATACGAGATATATTACAAAGTCCAGAGCTGTCCAGATATCCAAGCCCATCCAAGGTACAAGAGTTCGGTGCTATACTAATGTAAACAGCAATTAATACTACATGCTACAGCGAGCTTGAAGACTACTCGCGCTCTATTGTCTATTACCCAAATATGTCTCACAATAGCGACAGGATATGAACGGGACAATAAGAAATGCCTTCTTATTAAGGTGGTTGATCCCATCAAAGTCGAAGTCGCACACATCTACCCACTTTCTTTGCGTAAGAAAGCTGGACATTCTGAGAAGCATTTAATCTAGTAAATACTGGAAATGCTCTGGTCCGCGAAGAATATTGAGGCTTGGAAAATCGCAATTTTGCGACTGGAACGCACAACAAGCTCGCAAATCATCATCCTTAGCCTCGACGGTGTACGGAATCTGAATGAAAAATAATTTTAAGCCATATCAGCTGTCAGATGAAAAGGTGCCCACGGTGGGATTCCACTCGCTCCAAAACCGCCATATAATGTCTTGACCGCTATCTCCATCGCTTCAAACACTGGCAGCAACCGAGTCAATACACATCAAGTCGAAGTGCATCACAAGCCACATTGCCGGTGCTGTGGATCTGCTTCTGGACCTATTCCTACGGTAACACGTGGCCTTCAAGAGCCTACGAGGAGAACTCATTACCGTGGAAGACGGCGTAAATCATGCCGTGGTCGACGAATATGACACTAACCATACCCTGTTCAATGCTTCGTTGAACGGCTGTTCAGACTTCAAACATCCTCTAAGTCTTCACTTCCAAATCAGCAGGATAAACCGGGTCACATACAAAAGGCGTACAGTACGCGCATAAGAGTGCCCGACAGAACTTACCAAGCTTGGCTCGCTGATATTGAACAGCGGTCGAAGGGTCAAGGCAACCCCGTTGTTAAAGCTCACCGAAGAAAGGCTGGCGTCCATACCTCGATCTCGGCTATGGGAATAACATAGTAAACTAAGTTACTATGTCATTATGGGCTACCGTCGGAACATGCACGGCCACTAGAACTTTCCGGCAAATACTCGCCCCCACTCACGTAAGGGCAGACTGGCGAACCTGTATGCTGTATGGCGAACGACTTCTAGGACGCAAAACCAGTGCCACCGAAGATGCCTAAGGAGGCAGAAATGAGGGACGAGTCCACCCAGGTAGGATGGACGACCGACTTGCGCCCCAAGGTGTCGACCACTACAGGCACAATAGTAATTCAAGCCTTCGAGCCAGTTTATCTTAAGCCAGAAATGGGGAATAGTTTCTGGAAGTTTGCCACCGCAGACGGCCAGACTATTGCAGAGTCGACGATCCAGTAAATGACCAAGTATTCAAGCCGGGACGCCAAACTACGCCTCGCAAAGCGCAGCTTCGTTACTTTACTTACTCGTTTACCTGACATACAGACTCGCGCAGAAGGGTATTACCACTTGGTCGCCCGGATTAATTCCCTCGGTGACTAGATCACAATTAGGTCATGCATCGCGTCAAGTCTAATATATGCTTATAATCTGTTACGGAGACTTAATGTCTATCGCAATACGCAATATCCCACTTCGAAACTATTTCGAATCATGCCTCGTAATATGGATACAGCAACCCTGCGTTATAAATGGTTCTCACAGGGTGATATTGGCCCAAGATCAATCATAAAGCTCAACAATGACTGGGTCGTCCAGCAGGCTATAAGTGAGCACACATTCCAGAAAGATCACGATGACCATCTCGCTAGGAGAGGTCCTTCCTGGACGGCAATTCGCCTCCTCGTCGAAGATAGGAGCGCGCGTACCAAGGCCTATATGCGCACTTACAAGCAACTTATGCACGGTGGCACGGAGGCCGAGCCAGCCAGGGTTCGAACCCGGCAGGCTAATTCTTCGTGGTGTCCTGTTGAGCTGAAGGCTTACCGATCACTTCCTAACAAGCGACCTCTCATTGTACCGCGTCTTTTAGGAGAAAGGGTGACCAAGCAAGATGCAAGCGGTTGGGTGCCAGACGGCTTCCTCATATATATTGTGTGGGAAATAGTACCCGGGATTCAGCTCGGAGATCCTTGTGGTTCCAAGGTCTTTTGGACACTGGAGCGAGCAGAGAGAGATCTCATCCGGGAGAAATTTAAGGAGGGCTATATGAAGCTGTACGAATGGGGATTCGACCCTCGTCCTGGGTGCGGCCAGAATCTCGTTTGGAACGCGAAAACGTCGACACTGTAAGCAGCTGGAGGGCAACATGCGTCTACATGCTAACAGATATTACCTTAACGTATTATAGGTACTTCGTTGGGTGGTTTTTGGCATACGAGGACATTGAGAAGAAAGAGTGGACTCCCAGATTCTGGTATTTCTGGGACCTAGTCCGTGCTCCTGAGAAGCGTCAACGTCATGAAAATCCGGATGATAGTTGGATGTGGTAAACGATTAAGGTCTAGCCAGCAACATTATGGTACTGGTTTATGGACCGGCCTTGACAAACAATTTAAACTTCTACTTTAAATGCAATCAGGCCATTGCAGGGTATTGAAGATATCTTATTCATTTTACTACTATCCTCTGACCACCTTTATCATAGTATTTGGTCCGTCAAACATCCCGTCGACTCCAAAGAGAAACGGTGGGATATTTCTTGAAATAATTTTTCTTATAAAATCCCACTCCCTATTCTTTATTTACACTTGAACGCGAAACATCTGTGCCATGTTTCTGTTACTTAAACACTATCGGTTCAGTACAAACGGGCTATCGTCCATTCTTATAAATCTCTTTATTTGCTCAAAACTATCTTTCATATAGCTTTTTCATGGGGGTATTATGCCCCTCCATCTAGATATATACCTATACCAACACTGCTGAGGCCTAGTTATATGTCCCATTCCCAGCTGATATGCATTTGCTGAACTAGCGGAAGCAAGGAAAACAGAATGAGATGCAAGCAACTCCTGATATGGGAGTCCTCCTGGCATCCCTTGTCGCAATTTACTCTATGCCAAAATAGAGCACTGGCCAAGTTCCATGTAGAAGTAGAACATCACTTTCTCATTCTCATGGACAACCTCTGTCGTCGATGTTCAGGAGCCACTGCCGGCACATTCCCATGGACTGTCCTATGTGTGGGTTTATGTTGGTGATGAGCACGGAGTCCAGGGTCAGTTCAACCTGCTCATAGGACAGGCTGCTACATGTACCAAAAAGAAAGCTATGCGTCCCAACCAAACGTTAAGAAATTTCTATGGAATACTGTGCAAGGTTGTGCACAAGAGACAATGTAGTTTACGTGCCCGAAATCCCAAGCCCAGTGGGACAGAGATTACGGCCTACAATATTCTAGGCAAGAGCATTCGCGCATGGCCTGATCTAGAGTGGGGATACAACGTATCTCGTGAGATATTTTTCTCGCGTATTCTCTGCCCCGATTGATAAAAGCAAGAACTTGGGGTCAATGCCCAGTTTGGCATCTCGGCCGGTTATCTTGATTACCCAAGCTCGAAATCTGTTACAATCAATAGCAGCCCACATATCGAGACACCCAGTGATCAACTGGGCCTTTTTCTCAAGCCAGTACTAATGCTACAGAAACTCGCACATAATTTAGAAGATAAATGGACTGATGAAGATCCTGTGAATGCAGCCTTTATCGAGCTTCTCAATGGCTCTGGCTTCTTTCTTCTGGTGAGGAATAAATACTACTAGTACTTATGAGGACAGTCACCTCAGGGAATAGTTGGACAATGAGGACACACGTTTTACTAACGTAGGACAAACAATTTTCACCTTCTAAGTACAATTTACTGTTTCAGGATATAAAGAAGGGATATGCTAATATACAGCCATTACTGTATTTATTGTCTAGCTGACCAGCCCAAGGAAACACAATCGCAAATCATTAAAATTGTCTGTAGAGTGCAACGGTTTTGATGGCTCCAGAAAGGGTATCGGGTCCATCACTTGAGAACAGCAGCCGAGAAAGAAGCAGAATTCCCACAAATGATAATTAACGTTGTCAATAATACATATTCATGACGTTTCTCGTCCGTCGTTGCGCGAACTCCTACAGTAGAGGGAATGTTCCTGTGGCACAGGCCAAGTACTTTCTCTAATTCCACTCGGTCACGAGGACCACTAACTATGCGCCTTTCGAGTGGCTGATAAACCATAATGACTGCGCAAACATGGACTAAGATCCATTAGTGAAAGGTCTCAAGCGTCGCAAAACGCAAGTCGGCTGCGGACGTTCCGGTGGACGAGCACAATCATTGAAACACTCATGAAGTCCAGGGACGAGCTAATATGCCTTTGTTCTAGAAAACCAAACTCACCTCAAACTAATGATTAATTCAGACCAGTTTGAGCTCGGATCGAGACATCGCGGACAATTTTTTAAGCTCTTATACAACGTGGACGATGTTGATACTTATTGTACATAGACCTTTGCAACCAGTGTATGCTGATTATCAGTGCATTGTATTACCAGCAGATCTGAGTCTCTTTATTATCCTAATTATTACATTGCCCGCGTGGGAGTTATTCAACTTTGAGTAGAACAAGAATTGGGAACGGAATATTACAGATAGACATGAGGATACAGAGATCAGAGTCCATTCGTGGTTCTGAGGCAACGGACATCATCCGGCAAGTAAGATGGAGCATGCGCGAGGACAGAACCCATCTACGATGGGATACAAAAGTCTGCGAGTCTACTCATGTCCGGTCTGCATAAAAAAAGACGAACCTTGATTCAAATCGCTGTATTGAACACGCAATTGAGCGACGCATGGGATTATGCACTGCTTCACGTCTCATCGATTTTAGCATTGGTGAGATGCCAGTGGATAAGAGATTTCACTGTGTGTGTGGTGACATTCGACCAAATACCCCTAAAAAAAAGAAAAAAGAGGGGAGGGGGGGGGGGGGGGTTATGACTTCACTTCTCCATTTGCAAATTCGACTTACAAGACCCGACTAAGGTGTTGGCCTGGAAATTGTGGAAGGGGTGGTTATGTGTTATATATGACCTACGTGCGCACCATATCCCCAGTCATCACTGTATCATGATGTGTAATAGCTGAAAACTCTGCTATATCACCCTTCCTCCAGCTTTGCCATTTCATTTCTGCTCACCTCTCATCACCCTCATCGCTCTCATCACTCTGACTACTCCTACTACTCTCATCACTCTCATCATCCAAGATGCGATTCTGGTCCTGGCTTCGGGGAGAGCCCAGACGCGAATATTACTACAAAAAACGTCTTCAGGAAATCAAAGACCATATTGGCTATGACACCCCAAAAGATCCAGTCAAGAAATGGATATCCGAGTTTAATGATGAGGAAACGCTGGGGTTTGCCATTATACAGCGACAGCGTCGTCTGGAGAATGAGAAAAAGACGGCTGAAGAGCAACAACAGCGAGAGGAGAGGCGGCAGTTTCGGCGGCGGCGGTGCGAGCAGTGCCGGTACCAGGAAGAGATGTGCAGCGCCTGCCATGAAGCGACGCAGGCAGCAGATGTTCCACCACCCTACTCGAGCAGATCCCCAGAGGATTTCAAGCAAGATCTGGCCAAGCTGCGCGAAGAGTTTGTGAAGAATCGAATTCGCTTGGAGGCGATCAAACAAAAACTTACAGATAGTAGGAGTTGGTGGGTCACATATGCCATGGCCCCCCGCTGGCATAGAGACGACACTGGCCGGACGTTTAAGTGGATTGAAGGCCGGAGAAAGTGTGCTGATCTGGGGGGTTGCTGTGGCCGTACTTGCGGATGCTGCGAGAAAGTTCTGATTGAATATCAACGGCCGAAATTCTGGCGGAAAACACACTCAAAGGTACACTTCAGGGTGCATGGTCATTGCACGGTGGAGTGTGCTTGCTGTATCCAATTCTGGGGGTTCTATACTCCCCATCCTGCTCTTCCTGCTATGTACTAGGAGGCGCTTTACCTTTAGTACAGACAGTACCTTCCTCAAATATCAATAACTCGCTCAACGGCAGGCAAACCATCGTCGTAGGCTTTGGATCCCCTCTCTTTTCTCTTCTTCTTGTTCTTGAAAACAGTCGCTCGTTTGACAACGCTCGTTTCACACAGCATTAAGTCACTCTTTGCGACATTCACTCTTATCCATCTCGTTCATTACCCCACATTCTCTTTTATATAGGCTTTTTTCCATTTTTTTTTTCTTTAGATAGTTATGGCTGAGGCGGTAGATGCCAACGCCACACTCTCGTTTTGGCAGAAGCTAGACCCCAGTCACGCTAGGTGGCTGTTCCTCGCGGTCTTCGTGATCGTGATTTGCAACGTTCTTTTCGGTGCGGTGAGGCTCTATTTAGAGCTATTGATCAAACGCCACCACATCGAGAAGCTACGTGCAATGCCCCCATCACGGAGGCGCGACGTGGAAATGGGTAAGAATGAGGAAGAGGAGGATTCTGGGGGAGAAGGGGGGCAGAGGAGGGAGCGGAGGGGGAGGTGGAAGAGGGGGGAGGTGAGGACGGAGAGGGCGGTGAGGACGGGGTGGGTGTTGTTGAAGGGGGGGTATAGGTTGGGCGGAGGTGGGAGGAGAGGAAGAGGAGGATAGGGGAGAGAAGAGGGGGTTTGGGTGGGTTTACAGGGTGGGTGTGGCGGGAGGGTGGGAGGGTCCTCTCTCTATAGAACCATGCTGGCCGTTTGTCTAGGACTGACCGTTTCACGATGATCCACATCGCATTGACTTGAAGAGCTCGCCGATGAAGCTCAGCACGGTATACGGCATCAACTTGTGAGTTGAAAGGATCCCTTTGTTTCTGATATACTGACCGTTGCTATAGGACATCGATTTATCTTTTCATCTCGCCTCGACGGCTCCAGTCCGATGGGTTTTATAGGCGTCCAGGGGGTGTTGGAGACTATCTGGATAAATGCCAGTAAGTCACACCTTTGACCATTGCCATCAGTTGAGCCATTTTCTATTATCAACCTCATACTGACTTCGCCCTGTGATAGCAACCTCCGAAACCATGGCTCGGAGGCTCAGGATGATGACTTGGAAAGGAGGGTTAAGGTTTATACGGGAGGGAAGGGTGATAAGAGGAGGTGATGTGTGGAGGTGGGTTGATGCGAAAAGGGATATAGAGGGAAGGAAGAATGGAGTGAGATGGATAGAGGGAGAAAGGCCTGGTGTACTGTATTATCCACGTCTTCATATAGCACAATGGGAGGAAGAGAGCTCGATCATGGGGCTGGAAACAATGGGTTTCAATGTTGATATCAGATGCGGAGTATCAAGTCAGGCTCTGCTGAATGTACGACAGGGGACTGGTACTCTTCCTTACTAATATTTAAATATGCCGTGCAACTGTAGCAGTTCAAGCTTTCAGCCCTGTGAAATGCATTACTAGTCATCTTATGCATCTATGACAAATAGATACTATCTTCAAGTCAAAGAGTACGTAGGTAAGAGGTTGGGGACATCATGTATGTTATCCGAATATCATCAATTATTTACAATTATATTCATGAAGCTTCCGACCCGGGTGGATCATCCAGGGTTACATCGTACTTTGTGAAAGAGATACATCATATTTTATGATACCTAGCACGTCTAGGATTCAATTCATTAGTCATTGTATAGGAAGGAAATCATTTAATAATCGTTCTGACAGGTGATGTATTGCTATTATGCATATCAGGCTAATTAATTGGAAGCTCTAGATACTTGTCACCGAAAGCCAATGCCAAGCCGCTGACTGGGAGAACAGACAGGTCTAACATGGATAGGAGAATTTGTATATGTCGGGAATATGAGGTTGAGCGATGCTACACAGCAACACCGGGTCTCTTTAGATGTTGAAACAAAGTAGTAGTTGTAATAAAATGATGTCGTATTGTCACCGAAAGTCGTAACAATTGTGTAAATAAAGCCAGCCAGGGCCATAGAATATCCGTCCTATCTATATCATCAATGGGTACCCACCGGCGGGACAACGTTCACAGGTTTGCGCTTCGAGAAAAGATTCTTCAATCTGCGAAAGACTGTTTTATCATTGACAGGCGCGTCCTCGGTTCCTCGCGATCTGAGCTTTCGGCTCGTTGCCTTGCTCATTGTGGACCACGAGGTTTTCAATCTTGAGGCATTAGATCCAGGACGAAGATTTGAAACATTGTCCGTCGACTCGGTGTAAACTGGTAGGTGTGGCGAGCTGGCATTAGCAATTGTGCCTGTTCTCATCTTGGCCATCACTGCCTGCTGGATGTTCATGTCGCGTTCGCTTTCATCTGCAGCCGTGAGGACGTGTGCTAGGCCGCTGCTGTCGATAATAATTCCGGGGTGTTGTTTACTCTCTTCGACAGCAGAAGAGCCCAGGTCCAGCGGAGCCGTGTACTCTGGGGGTTGAACGGTTGGGGTCTCCAAACCAGCTACTCCACAATGGCCGTTCGGTGATGGTTCCACAGACTTGCCGAGACCGGGTGAAATATTGCTGGGGACTGAATGGGGTGAATGAAAGCTAGGAACGCCAGTGGACATGAGTGTAGTCTCGGGATCCAGATAGACCTCCACATCATCACCGCAAACAGCATCCACAAATTGAGGGCCATCCTCATTCGAATGAGATTCGGACTCAGAACCATCCAAGAAAGGTTTGACACTCTGGCCCCTATCCCTACTCCATTTTCCCGAACCTATTACTTGGTTATCATAACCTGCTCGACTAGGTGGGGCACTCGAGGACTGTGTTCCGTCGCTGGGGAGTGCTGAGTGGGAAGATGTCGCTCGTCCCGATTTGAGACTATCGCACTTGAGGTTCTGGCTGGTCTGAGAATGGAGAACCCTCATAGCCTGCATACTGGGCTGTTGGGTCAAGGCGACCCCCGAATCGTACTTGTTCTTCAGGGCTGCCACATCGGCTCCCACTTTCGGGGACACATACATGGAGTCGATTTGAGGCGCCGTGGACGATTCGTGCATCGTCGTATTGGTTGTGACCGCGCGAGATCGCTTGCTAGACCCCGACTGCTGGCCTTTCCCGATCTTGTATACGAGTAACGAACAGGCATTTCTAATCTGCTCTTCCACGTCGGTAGGTATGTTTGGTCGGTCAACCAACGGCGATGGTGGCTGATAGGTGCCAGGGCTATCAACAAAATCCCAATAACGGGTTGGTTGGTTATGGGCAGGTTGGCTTTGCTGGGTTATCAAAGTGGGTTTCTAGCTAGCACATTAGGCCACGATCGTGAGGCAGTTTAAGGGAATACACACCTGTGACCCGAACAGAAAAGAAAATGAGGTGCGTCGCTTCGTGCTAAACTCCATCGTGGCTGATGTTTGCAAATATGACGAAACAAGAGGCGTTCGGTCCGGAAAGGGATCAGCTAGATAGACTGCAGGAAAGACTGTGGCGACGCCAGCCAATGTAGAAGGACGCAATGGTGCGTCGACAAACGACTCGTGATATGGAGAGTAGCGACACAAAGGAAAACAAATCCGGTCGCTGGGCTACCAGTCCCAGGGAAATGGACCAAAACCGGCGATACTCAAGATCAGCCCAGTCCAATTCCTGAGCCAAAGAATCGCTCGAAGAGGCAGGTTCTGTCCAGGAACTGGTGGGATGGAATGTGGGGAGCGATTCGAGGAATGCTGTCGAGATCAAGGAAAGGAGGGGTGAGGACCGATTTGAAGGTCAGGGGAAGAAAAGCCACCGGAAATTATGAGAGACGAGAGGTAACAAGATGACTCAGGAGCAATGGACCAGTCCATCTGCTAGGTATACCACCTCTAATAATCAATCGCAAGGAGTAAATAGAATGCAACCGCGGCGCTGGGGACACCGGCTGTCTCAACGAGGGACCAAAGAATGAAATATCAGAGACTGGAAGGCCAGTGAGCAAAAGCAAACGAGCGTGGTTGGTGCGATGAGGCCGTCGGCCAGGGAAGAGAAAGCAGGAAAAGAGGAGACCCTGCAGAAAAGCAAGCCTTTGTCACACGGCATCACGGGGCTGCTGCAGGCCTGAAAACCTCGCCGTCTGATTGCCTCGTAGTGGCCCCGGACTTAATCTTGCAGTGCACTATTGTCGATGATGCAGCCAGTCCGGCTGCCATTCGCTAGGGGTGAAACCGGCCAAGGAGGGGTAGCAAAGTAGGCCATGCAGCGGTCGATGCGTATGAGATGATGATGTCCGCGCTTTTCCACTTCTAATGGTAGCTAGTGCTGATCAGAACGTCACAGAGAAGTTGCGGGTTGTTCTCCCATCAGACTCACTATCGGACAAACCAAGTCATCCCCCAATGCGAGGATATGAGTCTCACACGAATCAACTGGGTGTGACAGCATGGGTGTTGCACCAAACGGAACGCTTCCCTTGTCCAACGGTTTCGCAAGGGGGCCGTTGGGGTTGGAAGAAGGGATGAATCAAGGGGCTGGACAAACTTTTCGTGGAATGACCGATCGGGTAGCAAGAATGAGATCCATCACTTATAGGCAATTCTAGTGGGACTGCAGCAACTTCTGATAGGCGGTTCGCCGCTGCCTTTCCTGCTGGGAAGAGTTGATCGAACGCCCTACTGTGTACTTAAGTTGCCATCACCGTCATGCGGCCGCCATGCGGAAACGCTGTCGGACCATGAATATGATCGATATTGTGACACAAGACGAATTCAGTATCCCGGACTCAAGCATATCCATATTGACCCATTCGCCCGAAACTCAAGTCCCAGAGGCTCTGTGACATCTCCGCAATGCCGAAGCAGCATGGTACGGAGTACAGCAAGCGTCTCCGTGATGCATTCTGGGAAGGTTGAAGCACCATTCCAGCCGAGCGAGTGGAAGTCAAAATGATACATCACATCCTAACCCGACTCAACCCGTCCATGCCAACCTAATAACCAGCTTCAAAGTTCGCACGCAGCATCCCCATCTGCACTCCGCATTTCGCTTCAATTCCTGCAAGCAGCCCAGCTCTGCCTTGTACTTAATCCCCGAAAGCCTATCCAAGGCGTTCTCACAACGCCAACCACGTCATATTCCCTGGTGGTTCTTCCATAATGACCTCAGGAGGGCTTTCAGGCACCGAACTGGTAAGGCCCAACGGCGGGTATCATATGCGGAGCAGAGCTGCAGCTGGCCTAGGTTCCTGGTGCAACGATGGTTGCTGGGCGGATTGGGAATCGAACTAGATGGAAAAGGCTGGACTGGTTGATGGAGAATATTGAGAGGATGATGGTGTGATGGTAATTCCGTGTAGTAGGATGAGGTGAATGAATGATTTTGAAGTTGAGTCTGCAGAGTTCGTGCGGGATGTCTGGTTACATGAGTCCTTAATTACAAGGCCACACCGCCAGGCTCCTAATGTAGTGGATAACCGGTGCTCTGAAGAGATGACAAAACAAATCTATTTACCATAACGAATCTATGTACGATCGAACACTTTTCTTATCAAGGTCACCCACCACCCTCGGTGTCTTGACGTGTGCAAAGACACTCGGTGAGGGCTTATCTGATGGAGAGCAGTTGGATGCTTCTTTTTCAGCCTTACCTGTGTAGAGGAAACGAGAGAGGCAGTTGGATGCTCATCTCTCTGACTGGCTAAGATAATAAATCACAAGACCGCACCGCTACTTCCCCAAGGCGCCTGAGCCTGGCGGGGTCCGAAGCCGCCGGCGCGTCCTCTCTGGCCGAGAGAAAGGCCGGGACATGCCCACGCGGTACATCAGGCAGAATAAAAGGCTGCAACTAATGCGCCACATCTAATAGGACTCTGAGGGTCAGTTTACCACGCGGTGATATCTTCCACTTCCGCTTCGCCGAACGTGCTGCTCTTGGTTAGCTTGTTGACTCCGTCCACAGCCTGGACTCCTTCGGCAGGTGCCTTGGACATGATGTCCGGCAGGACCTCGCGGAAGAACTCGAGGATGTAACGGTTGACCTGTTCGAACTGGAGGAGGAAGGCGTCGTGACCTTCGGGACTCTCAATCCGCTTCAGGCGGGAGTCCGGAATGCCGGCCGCGATCTCCTTCTGTTCGTCGAAAGTGAACAGTCCATCAGATTCGATACCTAGAACCAGAGCAGGCTGCTGAATTTGAGACAGGGCTTCACGGACGGGGTTCTCCGCGGAAGGACTGGCCCGGTGTCGGGACACATCGTGCGTGTCAAGCTTGCGGGTGATGGCGATGTAGCAATTGGCATCGAAACGCTTCACGAATTTCTCGCCCTGGTACCGAAGGTACGACTGCGCCGAGAAATAGGTGGGGAGCCGCTTCTGGGAACCGTTGGTCTCGATGGTCTTGCTGAAGGTCTTGGCACCAGAGAATTGAGGATCTTGAAACTGGACTTCAGAATGTTGGGCGTCGGACTGCGGCCCGGGCGAGCTGCGTCCACTCTTGTGTCCGTCGTTGTGGATAGCCCAGTGCTCGTTAGGGGGGGTAGGCGATCTTTCTTGGCCATTGATGGTCTGCCGCTTGGAGGGATCGGGCACGTTTCTGCCAAATCGAGACTCGAAAGAGTTGCGGCTGCGGTAGGTGAGGAGGGCAGACATGCGCGCCGCACCCAATCCGGTGGCCGGAGGATCGTCAAACGGGTAGTAGCCATCCTCATACTTCGGGTCACTGTAGATGCTCTGCCGTTGGGCTTCACCCCAGCTGATACACCAAGCCGAATGACGAGGAGAGGTGGCGATAGGGACGATTGCACGAACATAGTCCTTGCCAAAGTAGGCGTACTCGAGAGTAAGCATACCACCCATGGAGCCACCCACCACGGCTGCAATTTGACGGATGCCCATGTCATCCAGCACCATCTTGTGAATCCTATGCGTTGTTAGCACGCCGTTACACCACAAAGAAAACAAGAGAATGAAAACTCACTTTACATCATCACGGACGGTAGTGAGAGGAAACTCAGGACCGTACAAGCCCTTGGACGGATCGCCGTCCTTGTAGGTCACGGCACTGGCACTTCCGTACGGACTACCCAGACTGTTCAAGCAGACGACGAAAAACCGCGAGGTATCGAAAGCTTGACCGGGGCCACCAAGCAGGGGACCCCACCAGTCCGCGACATCCGCACTACCACTGAGAGCATGACAGATCACCAATGCATTGTCACGTTCGGGGGAGAGTTGACCCCTCGTCGTGTAGGCCACAGGAACGTTGTGCAAGGTAACACCAGACTCAAGGGTGAAGGAAGGAATGGTAACGATCGTTTGATCGGTGATGAGAGCCGAATAAGGGTTTTCGGGTTGGGAGTCAGCCCTCTCTACGGGATTTAGTAGCTGTTCACATTTAAAAGGCGGGGGAGGGGAAGAGGGGGGAAACTGACGGAATTGCCCGGGGGCGGTGGCTTGAGCGACCATGCTGAACGGACGCGTGTGGTTAACGGACGTATGGACGCAGAACAAGTAGCAAGAACGAAGTTAAAGTAATGGGAGAAGGAGAGATCAAGATGAAGCAAGTAGAGACACACAAATGAATAGGAGGGAAAGTTAAAAGGTAAAAAAGACGGAAAACGCAAGATGATGGCGATCTCTGGTCCCCCGGGGAGTTTTCCGGCCTTGACTCATACGCCATCACGGGCCAATCACATGTCTCACATTGATCCTGAGGCAGGATTGAGTCTACGGAATTAGGTTCCACCGAGGATCCGCCCCCGGTCCCGCTTCCCGGCTTTTCTCTGTCTCTCCGATCCCGGGCTCTCCAAGCATCGTCATGTATACCACCAATTGAATAAGTGGTCTGCAACAACGGATCCAGCACGTTTCAGCTGAGGAAGTTATGAGATGACAGTGTGGCTGCATTAGGGATCCGGTTCGGTATCGTTTTAGCGAATACGAAGTCTACCGTTTCATCGAAGCTTCAATTTATTTGGTCTAGGCCCCTTCGCTTGCTATGGGGCCGAGTAAGTATATCGAAAACAACTAAAAAGCTATATAATGGACATGACGTTTCTCAGACTTGTCACTTGTTTCCGCAGCGATATAACTTTTGTCGATGCAATGTCTAGGTAACTGAACCAGCAACGCTCTAACACCTCGATTTTAACGATATCCGGACAAAAAGAAATTAGTCATGTATATGATTGTTCAAGCCTCGAAGATAAAAGATCATGTCATCTCCAAACGTCTCACAATAGAGAGATACTACTATCGGATTACAAATAAGCTTGGATATAAAAGAAACAACACATTGACAATGTCTGAAAGCCGCTATATTACAAGATAACCTTTAATCACAAATCTAATCCATCATCATCGCTCACCCACCTACAGCGAAACAACCAATTTCTTTGCCGAAACGCCCTTCTTCAAAACATTCAACGCCTCCTGCACCGACTCCAATCCCTCACTCACCACCTCAACCTTCGGCGCACTAACAAAGCTCCCCTCTTTTAACGCCGCAGGCAAGAAATCCACAAAGATAGCAGGCCCAACCTCATTCTCAGCCAAGTCACCACCAAAGACGAACTTCGACTCGACCCCATCCGCCAACGGTCCAGACGGCGGACTCACCAACGCAACAAACTTCCTCCCCTCGACCCTCGCCACAATCTCACCACACTTTTCAGGAGACCCCGTTCCAATAGCCAATGCACCAGCACTAGACTTCCCCGCAAATGTAGCAATGAGATCCTCAACCACCGTCTCGGAGTTATAGTCGAAGACGTGACTCGCACCCAGAGACTTGACAAAGTCGTAATTCCGCGGCGAAGCAGTCGTAATCACTTCATACCCCGCTGCCACGGCAAGCTGAATAGCGTTGCTGCCGACACTGGATGATCCGCTCCAGATGAGGACGGTCTGGCCTGTTGATGGGGCCTGAGGGGCCATGGGATGTTGCAGCGCGAGGTAGTCTTTCTGGAAGAGGCCACATGCGGCGGTTGAGATGCCGAGGGGGATTCCGGCCGCATCGGCGTAGGATAGATTGGATGGAATGGGCGATGTCATATGTGCTTTGAGCACAACGTAGGTCTGGAAAGCACCTTGGCAGGAACGGGTGCTTTTTAGCTCACCGGTTAGGCCGAGGACACGGTCTCCGGGCTTGAATCGGGAGGAGATGGTGCCTGGTCCGACTTCAACTACTTCCCCTGCAACGTCGCTGCCCAGAATGGCGGGATAGGGGGTCCAGGCGAAGAGGGCAGAGCCAAGGTCTTGACGGGCGTAGTCGACAAGGTTCAGACCGATGCTGTGGTTCCTGATTACGAGTTCGTTTTCACCGGGATGGGTGTAGGGTGCTGTGTCGATTTCCAACGGGTAGGCCTTTTCGGACTTGAGCCAGGCGGCGGTGTTGGTTGGGGCCATTGTGATGAGTCAATTGTGACCAAAGGCTTAGTATTAAGATATCTTGAGTAATAGTAGAGAATACTTGTGAAGATGCTACAATGAACCGTCAGTTGTTCCTGACCAGCGATCTATATACTACCCTCGCCAAGTTGAAGTTCAACGGCATCTCGGATTAGGGCACGGTGATAAGGCCGTAATATCCGATGGCGAATCCTTCGGTGCTTACACCCCGACGGGGTTTGCGATTCTTAAATCCTACGGCATTGCCGCCCAAGTCTGACGGAATTCCGACCCCTCTTATCTTGTGTCATGATTCATGATCAAATCCGCTTGTCGCCATGGATCAGTCCCCCACCGATCAGTCCCCCACCGAGTATGATCTCGCCCCGGCCCCATACGGCCGCGCCTGCATGAATTGCTCGCAGTCTAAATGCAAATGCATCCTGCCCAAAGGGGGCGGGCGATGCCAGAGGTCTGTTTTACGTATAGTGAGACCAGTGTGAGACCAGTGTGAACTGAATCTGACGGTAATGGGTGATGGCAGGTGTCAGCGCCTGAACAAAGAATGTCGGCCATCGGCGTTCCATCGACGGCAGAATGCACGCAAGCCCTCGAAGACAGGGAGATTGGAGAAGAAGCTGGATGATTTGGTGACACTGCTTCGCGCGCAAGCGCCTTCCCATGCCCATGCGGGGGATTACGCAGAGTTGATTGATGATCTGCGACGAGAGCCAGATGAAGACCTCCATCACCATCCACCACCACCACGCTCGCAGATCAAGGTTACTCGGACAGTCTCGACGGCGGAGAAATCCATCGACTGTGAGTTCCTTAATCACTTTGCGCAGGTCGGAGCGAATACCTCCTCCCGGGATGAGTCGAACGCGAGTGCAGCAGAGCCGAGCTGGTCGCAGGCTGAAGAGTATCTGAGCATGTTTGTCACTCAAAAGCTACCATATTTGCCATTCGTGTATTTCCCGCCAGGAACAACAGCACAGCACCTTCGCAGTGACCGTCCGTTCCTCTGGCTATGCGTTATGGCAGTTACGGCAAAGAGCCCGAGTCAGCGACGCACGCTGTGCGATAGAATCCGCGATACTGTAGCCCAACGCATGGTTTTAGACTGCTACGGTCGCGATCTCGACTTCCTCCTCGGTCTCATGGTATACATTGCCTGGTACGATCACCCTTCCCCCTTGGTAAGACATACTAACAGCCACAGGTCCAACCAGCAAATCTTCAAGAGGCTCAACATGACCATATACAGCCAGTTCGCCACAGCCGTAGTCTTCGACCTTATGCTCAACCAGGCCCCTGGCGGAGACAAACCATCACTACTGACTATACTCCAAACCCACCCAGACGAGGATCCCTCCCCGCCACGAGCCCGAACAATGGATGAGAGACGCGCCGTTCTGGGCTGTTTTCTCTTAACCTCCAGGTACTCCATCCACCTCCCATCCCATCTACCAAGTATAATCCCACTCCTAACCCAATCCCAGTATATCCCTCTTCCTAGAAAAGAGCGAACCCCTTCGCTGGACTCCCCACATGGACGAATGCCTACATCACATAAGTGAACACCCCGAATGCCTCAACGACGAGATTCTCGCCCAGCAAGTGCGCTTCCAACTCATCAACGAGAGAATCAACACCACCGCCACAACCACAACCGACTTCTACCACACCAGCCTCCTATCCCCCTCCCCATTCAGACCCCCACTATCAATCTACACCCACGCGATAGACACCCACCTCCAACAAACCCAAAGCAAACTCACCCCCCACTCCCAACGCTACCGAATCCTCCAGCTCCACCACTCCAACACGCACCTCACGATCCACGAATCCGCCCTTCTAAAACCATTCCCTAACCCCTCTACCACACAACCCCCCAATCCTCCCTTAACAATCAATCATCATCTTCACCACCTCGAATCCCTCCACGCCTGCCTCTCCGCCGTGAATGCCTGGATAACCTCCTTCCTCGCCATCCCACCAGCCGAGTACGCAGGCTTCCCCTTCCCCATTTTCTCGCAGCTCGTGCGACACCTGGCGGCGTTGTATCGGTTGTCTACACTTGATGATCCGAGCTGGGATCGAGGGTTTGTGCGCCGCACCGTCGATCTGATGAGTGTGATGGATCGGTTGATTGGAAACCTGGGACAGGCGGCGGCGTTGGCGAGACTCGAGGCGCAGGGCGAGGATGAGGATGAAGATGTGTTTTTTTATTCGATTGGGAAGTACGAGTCTGTTAGGTTGAAGTGGGGAGGTGTTTTTGGGGGCAGTGCCCCTGGGAATGGGAATGGGAATGGGGTCAATGGGGGAGTGGTGGAGGGACAGGGGGTGCAGGATGGGGTTGGGGGAAGTAATGGGTTGGGTCTGGGTCTGGGTCAAGCTCAGGGACATGCACAGGCACAGGCACAGGAGATGGGGGGTTGGGGGGCGGGTTATGATGATTGGTTGTCGGAGTTTTTGAATTCGATGGTGCATTGATCATTGATCAATAATAGTAGTATTACTAGTATCTTTCGGTTGCTTAATGGGGGTATGCTGTGGGTTTGGGATCGGTTTATGAGTATGCTTCTCTCAGATATTATATGATAGATAGTATATAGTATATCTACTACTATGCAAGCATCTCCCAATAATACACCAAAAACAACACATCTACTGTAGTATCGAGCTTGCTATGCAAAAATATCTCCCCCCTCCGGTCCATTCCTCGCCTTCTCCATCCTCTCCACACTCGTCTTGAACAACCTTGGCATCCCCGTCTCCTCGAACTTCTTCCCCGACTGGATCATCTCCGCCAGTCCCTTAGCGGACAGCAGAATCACCGGCATTCCATGTCCATTAAACCCAGCACAGACATACTGCCCGGGTTTATTGGGAACTTCACCGATGTGCGGATGCGAGTCGGACGAGTAGCCCATAACTGTCATCAAATCAGTACCAGCCATTCCTCAATTTAAATAGAAAATACAAAGGAGAACGAAGATGAATAATACTCACCACCCGTCCAAATCTCCTTCACATACGCCCCACTATTCTCCCACCCCCTAAACGTCCGCTGCATATACCCATCATAGTAACTCTTTGCAGACTCAATTAACGTCGTATCATCCACAATTCCATACCATTCCTCCCGCTTGTCTTTGAATGTCGCCTGCGCGCCACCCACTATAATACTCCCATCCGGTCTGGAAATTAGATAGCTGCCCCCGCCGACAACGTCAGATCCGTACCCGATTGCGTACGAGTAAGGGAGGAACGGAGCGGGCTTCTTGCCCTCTCCCTCGGGGACTGTAATATGACAGCATATTCCCTTGCAGGGAATAATATTGGCCGAGTACTCGGGGAGTAAGCCGGCCGTGTAGGCGTTCGTCGCGTAGACGATTTTGCGGGCGCGGAGAGAGCCGCGGGGAGTGGAGATTATGTTGATGTTGTCTTCTGAGGTGATGGATGTCACTGGGGTGTAAGTTTGGACGTTCAATTGTGGGAATTTTATGATTTTGCTCAGTAGGCCGAGGATGAATTTGTAGGGCCAGAGAGTGCCCGATGTGTAGGAGATGCAGGCTTTGGCGTTATGGGCGCCTGATATCTGTGCCTTCATTAGTATTCTCTTCTTTATCGTCGTTTGGGAGATGTAAATGTATAATGAAAGAGGATATTTACTCACCACCTCCGCATCCCTTTTCCCCGTATAATGCAAATCCTCGGCCAGCTTGACCCCCCTCGCCTGCAACATCTCATACGCAAGCTTGGCTTTCTCCGCCGACTCTTCATCCAAATACACATTCATATTCCGGGTAATGTTCAAATCGCAATCGATATTCTCCTCGCGGAGAAGATCTTTTAGCGCCTGGATATGCGCGTATTCGAATTCGGCGATCTCCAGACCCGCTTCTAGTCCGGAGCGCTCGATGTAGGTTGGGATGTGGCCGTAGATATCCGGGCGGAGGTGGCCGCCTTCACTTTCACGGTTAACATGGTGTCCTAACTAATATGTGGCACGTTCAGACATGAACAGGGAGTATACCATTTCGACCTGTCGCGCCCGAGCAAATCTGCCTCGCTTCGAGGAGCGTAATACTGGTAGACTTGTCCCCCTGCTTAGAGAGCTGCTTGAGGAGATAGTAAGCTAGCGTGACGCCTGAGTAGCCGCCGCCGATGATTACGATGTCGCTTTGCGGGGGCAGGTCGGGGGTGCTCCGGATGTCGTCGAGCGGGTCGAGTTGGGTGCGCCAGAAGGGAGTGATGGGGTTGTCTGGGGGGAGCATGGTGTTGGTTGCTGTGTTGGAGCCCATGGTGATGTGTTTACAGTGGTATTCGAATAAGACGTGTGAGTCTGAGAGATGTTTACTACAATCATGTTCAGTCGGCTCTCACCGCAATATATACATGAGTCGATCGCCCAACGTTTTAGCCGTTTATCCCGCCCCAACATAGATGGGGTCGATAGGTGGATAACGGCCTATCTGCTTTATCTTCGGAGTCCGGCTTGGGGTCCATTAGTTGGGGTGACTATCGGCCGTTGTCGGAGTTGTGTGGAGGTGTAGTTTGAAAAGCGTGAGCTCTAATTAATAGTATGTGGTTCTATGTGGGTGATAGTCTTCTAGAAGGCGGGATATAATCGGGAGAAGTTTTACGAATACCACTGCTGAATATGGTTTCTGGACATGGTTCTGGAAGAGCGGGCTGAGAACCATGTCTATTACGCCAAGCTGGCCACTAAGAAGCTCTCCCCTGTAAATGCCCGTCTATCATAAGGCTTGCCTTGTATCAGCCACCCACGTCTTATCAGGCGTCCCTTTCGATGAAACCTCATTATCATGATGCACTCCGGCTTATCAATTCCCTCAAGTGCAGATTGAACGAATGCGGGGGCTGTTGATAATCTGATAAACTACACCTGGCCTGAGCTTAAGCCTTGCGGAACTCTCCCACTGATTTCATTCTATGAATAGTACTACTCCTAAGTATCATGTCAGAGTGAGATGTAAATATATTCACTTTCCCGGTATTGCAACAACTGTAACTTACCACTGGTACTAGTAGCTAGTATTGTGTGGGAAGTTCCGGCTAAGAAGACAGATTGGGCCGCAATCAAATAGTAGACTTGATACATCAATAACACCTGGCAAATACTTAAAAGGACAAGGTGTTGCTCTAAGCTCTGCTGAGTACAAAGAAGCATCTTCAGCTGGAGCTCCCCAATCGGGTAATTTTCTTCAAGTGGAGCCTTACTCAGCCAAACCGGATCAGGCAAGTCACCATACCGGAAATAGCTACGCACCCAGTGACCACCGCCCTCATCCAGCCTAGCGCGCGACATCATCTCGATCGGTCGCAGCTCAAAGACTCACTTCCCATGCCCGACCACCGCAGGGGCATCGCATCGCATCTCAACACCTCCCAGCAATGATTACGCCCGTTTGAATTCATCCGAACGAAAGAACTATCGCCGATAATCTCTACATGCTCGAGTCTACCACGCCGTGCGCTTTCCGCTACAATGACCGACTATTCTAAATGGAAGGTGACCGATCTTAAAGCCGAGCTGAAGCGGCGCGGCATCGCGCAGACCGGTCTCCGCGTGAAACAACAGATTATTGACCGATTGGTGGAGGAAGACGCTCGCGATGAGAAGGATGCTGTTGCAAACGGAGAGCCGGCCGCCGAACAGGATGTTGCGCCGCAGGAAGCGCAGCCCGTTGACGCGGAACAGCCTGTGCCAGAGCCAGAGCCAGCCGCGGATGCGCCAGCTCAACCCGAGGCTACTGAGTCTGAGGTGATTGACAAACAGACAGAGGAGCCAGCACAGGAACAGGAACAACAACAGGCACAAACGGAGGAACAGGGTGATGCGGTTCCTGAGTCGAAGCCTCAGCCGGTGACTGACGAAGCGCCTGCCGAACAGGCTGCTGAGCAAGGACAGCAACAGGAACAGCCAGAGCAACCGGTCCAGGAATCACCGAAACCAGAGGAACCAGCTCAACCCACCGATACTACTACTGTTAACCAACCCGCCGATACTTCCATCCCGCAAGACCAGACCGAGAATGACACCGCTGCAGCACCGGTAGAGCAGGCTCCTGGAGAAGCAGCACCGGAACAGTCTGAGGACATGGAGCCAAATCCTGCAGAACCAGCCGCATCTGGTGAGACCGCTGCGCCGCCCGCGGCAGTCCCCTCGGAGATGAACACCGGGTTGTCGACACCCCTGCCTACAGAAGAAATGCTGGAGGACAGACGCAAGAGGAAGCGTCGCAGTCAGAGTCCTGTGCCAACACCGGAAGCGCTTGCAAGTAAAAAGGCCAAAGCCCTAGATGAGACACCCCGTGTCGTCTTGCCCGAGGACCGGGCTGCGGTGGACAAAGAACACGAGTCACGGCCGGACGAAGCTCTTTCCGGTCCGCAAGGAACCCCTGAAGAACGCGCGGGGCGCGAGGCCGCGCCGGAGGAAGCCCCGCCTGTGCAAGATGAAACATCCAAGAAAGGCGCCCCCCTGAAACATGACGTTCGCTTCAAGGGGCTTTTTGCTGCCAAGGAGACGGAACAGACTCGCCCCGTCTCCCCTCCACCGGCGGATGCGGTTATGGAAGATGCCGACGTCGAGCCTGCCGTGCATGCTGCCACAGCAGCTCTCTATGTCGGCGGACTGATGCGTCCTCTCCAGCCGGTCGCGCTCAAGAACCATCTTGTCAGTCTCGCGTCCCCTCCGGATGCCTCACCCAATCCGGATGTGGTCGTAGACTTTTACCTGGACCCCATCAAGACACATTGCTTTGCTAGCTTTAGGTCTGTCTCAGCAGCGTCGCGAGTCCGCACCGCCCTCCATGGTACAGTATGGCCCAACGAACGCAACCGCAAGACTCTATTCGTGGACTTTATTCCCGAAGACAAGTTGTCCCTCTGGATTGAGAAGGAAGAAGGATCGCGACAGCGTGGTGGCCCTCCGGCGCGCTGGGAAGTGCGATATGAGCCAACTGATGATGGGGTAGAGGCTGTTCTCGAAGAGGTTGATCCCCGAAGCGCTTCATCTCAGCATATGCGTGCACCTGACGCCTCAGGATTCTCCCGTCCGCCGCCTACCGGGCCACGGGCGGAACTGGGCGCTCCTCGACGTCCCAGTGGCCCAGTCACGGCAGACTCGAGTTCACGACCTGGGCAAGGATTCAAGCCGCTGGATGAACTTTTCATGTCTACTACTACGAAGCCCAAGCTCTACTACCTACCGGTTCCTCGAGAAGTGGCCGACCGGCGTTTGGATCGGTTTGACGACCTGCTACGGAAGGGAGAGTTTCCCCGACGAGGAGGGGACGAGCGCCGTCGCATCACCTTCGAGGATGAAGATTTCTTCGTCGATAACGGACCGGACTTTGGTGGTGGGCGCAACCGACGAGGCCGAGGCCGTGGTGGTCGCGGACGTGGAGGATTCGGAGATTCGTGGAGAGATGACCGACGTAGTCGGTATTGAAATGAACAGATATACCCCTGATGATATACTATGGGACTGCCACGGTTTGGGATTAGGTGCTTTGTGTAATTGCAATTTCCTGTACAGTAGGCGAATGCCAAGATGGCGCGGGGGACAAGCAAAAAAAAGAAAAAAAAAATATGATCTACGGACAAGAAGTGATTTTATTTGAGCCAAGATGGCGAGGTGTATACTAGGTTGGGTAAGTGTTCCGGGAGACGAATCAACGAATACCATCAGGATTTATTTTTATTCGGGGAGTCTCTGTTGGCGTGGATGTGTTTTAGGTGGATAAGTTGGAACATCAGAATCATGCAGTCAGAACCGCTCACTACTTTCACTTGTTTAAAATTGCGGTGGCGCAGCGACCCTCCGCCATTGCGATGCGCGGCAGATGCACCGAAGGTGATTGATTGGCACAGGAACTGTCCTCTGTAGTAACAAGAATCCATCGTAAGAACCGCATCTGACTTAAGAATAAATGTGGCTGCCTTGCCGGTTCGGCCTCATTCTCCTCCTACCAAGACTTTTTCTCTGGCATTACTCCACGATCTATTGTTTTGGATAACAAAGGACCAAGAACCCCGACCGGTCCTTCACGGTTACACCTTATATGATTATCTGTTCCTAATTCCGAATTCCATGCCTGACGTGCAACGACGACGTACCTCCCGACTTGCTCCACTTCATTAACCCAACTGCACTAATTAGTCTCCGTCATTCCAACTCTCTCTCATCCGCCGGTCGCTTGCAAATCCCGCCTGGTTGTCTTCCCTGCCAGCGCATCCCGAAGCATCGCCAGGGCAATCGGTCCGTATTGACTTCGCAGGATCACTTTCGCCAGTGACCCGACCGGCCTCCCGAGTCGAAAAAGAGGCACAACAACGTGACAAAAGCTTAAACTTGGGTGGCTCCCAGGGGTTCATGGGGGGCCAAGCCCGGCTGTGCGGATAAGATATCTTAAGAAAAGCGACGGGCTGGCGTCCATCACGACGATCCTCTTTCTTCTCCCTCTTCTCGCTTTCGCAACCCGTCTCTTTTCCTTTCCTTTCCTTCCTTGCACCCCCAAAGGCTGTTCATCCTTGCAGTCTCCTCTCCCTACCTGCAAGAATGGGCTGGCCAGTGTGCAATTCGACCTCGGAAGATGAAACCAGTAGGCAACCCCCCCCTCTGCGCCTTGTTGATTGCGACTCGGGTGCGTGTCATTGAATTGGGCTGACGCGGACTTTGACAGTCACGGAGGTTGACCTCTGGGATGGCGGCATCACCTTCCACCAACTCTGCCTGATCATGGGCGGGGCTTTTGGTCTCATGGCTATACTTGTTTCCTTCTACCTGATTGGAATGCACGCTACACATTACAGCAAAAAGATAGAGCAACGGCAGTATGATTTCTCCTCACTCACTGGCACTTAGTCTCTTGCTGATAGCTGACTTTCGCTTCCCTTCACTAGTATCATTCGAATCCTGCTTATGGTCCCCGTTTATTCCGTCGTCGCATGGCTCGGTACCTACTTCTACAAGAACGATGTCTACTATGATTTGATCGGCAACTGTTATGAAGCGTTTGCGATTTCGGCTTTCTTCTCTCTTATGTGCGCATACATTGCGCCCGACTTGCATAGCCAGAAAGAATACTTCCGTGGAGTCGAACCCAAACCGTGGGTCTGGCCGATCCCGTGGCTTCAGAAGTGTACGGGTGGAGAGAAGGGCATTTGGAGGACACCGCGCAGTGGTTTAACATGGTTCAACGTGGGTGCCGACAAGCCAGAACGTGCGCGATCGAAGTTGTGCTAACATGGGCGCTAGGTTATCTGGGTGGGCGTTTTTCAATACTGCCTCCTCCGGGTCTTGATGACTATCATCGCGGTCGTCACGCAAAAGTTTAACCTGTACTGCGAGGAATCCCTCAACCCGGCGTTTTCGCATATCTGGGTATGTGTTGTGCGACTTTGTTACGAACTCGGCTAACATGCAATAGGTTCTCCTCATTGAATGTATTGCAGTCTCCATCGCCATGTACTGTCTGATCCAGTTCTACATTCAGATCAAAGACGACATCAGCCAGTATCAGCCATTCTTGAAGATTTTGTCAATCAAGTTGGTCATTTTCCTGTCCTTCTGGCAATCGGTAAGCGCAGCATTTTGCCCGCATGTCCATTCCGGTCGTCTAACCCATTTCTAGACTTTGATCTCCTTCCTCACCTCAGCCGGAGCGATCAAAACCACCTCTAAAATACAGAGTCCCGATCTCAAAGTTGGACTGCCGAACCTACTCATCAATATTGAGATGGCCTTCTTTGCCGTCCTTCACCTGTGGGCATTTTCCTGGAAACAGTATTCGCTCAAGAACCAGCCGTCCGAGATCACCGACTTCTACGGCAACGGCAAAGGCAGCTATGAGGGCGGTCCCTTCGGCGTTAAAGGCATACTCGACGCCTTGAACCCAATGGACCTCATCAGAGCGATTGGTCGCAGTTTCCGCTGGCTCTTCGTCGGCCGGAAGAGACGCACGATGGATCCCAGCTACCACCAAACTGCAAATGACGCCTTCAACATGAACGCTACCGAGAGCGGTATCGATTCCCACGGCACCGAATACGGCGGCGCAGGCGTAATGATGGCCGGTGGACGCTACAGTCCCCCCGGCGAAGAAGGACAGGTCCTCCTGTCGCACGCCCAGCCAAGCCCCGGTGGTCCCCCGCCTCCGATCGACGACGAAACGGACCCGAACCGCTTCTACAATCATAACCGACTCAGCGCAGCCTCCCTCCTGGAGCCAACAGCCACGCATACTGCCCGGCCGTACTCCCCTTACGAGGAGGACGCATGCAACCCCTACCTCGTGAACTCCCACCTGGAACAAGACCACTACCACGAGCCCGTCCACGCCAATCCACCTTATCCAGACCACCCCACCACAACGCTGCAAGAACAGCCTCCCATTCCTCTCCCGGAATCCTACCAACCCCCTCCCCCGAACTACGACAGTGACCACCAGCAACAACAACAACGAAGGTAAAGCGACGAGATTTGATTTCGACGAGCAACAAAAGAAACTCCGTTAACTGCGGAGTATGATGACCCATTTAAGTCTTCATGCATGTTCTTTCACTTTCTTGCGCGTTCCTCATCCTCCCTACTGGGTAAGAATTGAGAGCGCCACGGCTTGCTATCTAGCTAGCCGTGTTTATCTTTGTCTCTTGGCGTTGGCTTACTTTTATTCCCTGCCTGTCTGTTCTATGCATCTGTCGTATAATACCCTCTGAATTTCTGGGCTGCCTTTCTTGTGTTTGATTTATTCTAGCTATATGATATCACGGTATGAAGATTGAGCTTTTGATGAGACCGGATTGACTTACCTGGGAGACTTTTCTCTTGGTTGAGGGAGGTTGTTTATATATGATATCACTTCCCCTCGTCTTCCTTTTTTTTGTTTTCTTTCTTCATCATACTTTCTTGCTATATTTCTGTCTTTTTTGCGAAGATAGAGATTACATATTAGATACTTTCGTTGTACAATATTATATTTATATTAGAGATATATACCTTTGTGGCTGTGGTTGACTGCATTATAGTGGTAATAGTAATAAGTTATATATGTTTATGAAATGGGTAGTGGTACAAGTCTACATATACATAGCAAGTATAGCAGTCAGGGTATGATCATGCATTCATGGTTCGTTAAGACTCTTATCAGCTACTAATGTTGATTAACTCCATCTCACACCAGATACCTCACTCCTATCCATGACTCACCCCATCCCCAGTCGAAAAAGGTTCAGTGAACCGATTCTGCCAAGATAATTGTTGCGTTTTCCGCGACATCATCGTCCGTCTGACACTGTTCATCAGCGCAGTTCGTTTCCCGAGCTCGCGCATCGCGCTGATGCTCTGGCCGAGTTGTCCTAATAGGGAGACGAGGTGGACGTCGTTGCTCTGGGCGATGGCTTCGGCCGTGAAGGCGCTTCGTTCATCAGGGGTGAGAAGGGAGAGGTGCGAGAGGAGAGCGTTGATGTTGCGGAGGATGGGGTGGGAGAGGGTTGTTGTTGAGGTGGGGGTTTCTGGATCGGAGGTGGAGTTGCTCGCGACGTAGGATTTGATGAGGGAGATACGGGATTCGAGGGTCTTGATGGCGTTGAGGCGAGTGGTGAGGCTGGCGATTACTGTGTGGGGTGGTTTTGGTTAGTGATGGACTTTGGTTTTGGTTTTAGGTATGGGGGTGGTGGAGTGCTTACGTTCTTCTTCCTCGGGGGAGAGCACTTCTGACTGATCCTTGCTGGGTTCTTTGCCGGCTGATTGCTTTGTGAGAGAGGCCGTGCCTTGTGTGTCTGCGGCGGCGTTTCTGGCTGTCCTTGCTACTGTGTCGACGCCAATCATCTCGGCTTCCCCCGTTTCGACGGAGTAGGGCAATTCTCGGAAGCGAATCGTTAGGGATTGTTCCTCTCCATCAACCTGCATTGTCTTGCTGTTCTCTGTCGCATTTTCGCCCTCGTATACGCTTTCGTAGATTGTCACAGGGAGCTTGCCGCCGTTGGAGGATGCATCTTGTACCAGGGATGGGTGGAACGCGAGGAACACGGCGGACTCGTTGTGGTTGTGGAGGATCTGGCGATGGATTGGGAGGTGGACGGTGTTGGGGCCGGACGGGGGAGCAGTTGACCACCAGCCGACAAGGTCAAGGGCAGGAGCTTTGTGTACATCTTTGACTTGGAGGGGGTCAGCGCCCAGATGCATGTAGATGGTTGAGATACAAGTGGACGGGACTTACATTGCTTGACTCTCTCTACGAACCAGTCCTGCGGAATCTGCAGATCTCCATTGGGGCCCTCGTTCACAATACACTCAAAGACGTGTTCCAAGGTGATTTCGCGTCCGTTCTGCTGGCCTAGAAGCGCTCCCACTATAGGTCCTTGCTGAGAGCGGGCGGCATGGCGGGTGATGTGGTCTGAGATGGTCAGGAGGATCAGAGGGTGGAGCTGGATATGGAGGCCGGAGTCGGAGTTCTTCGGAGATAGGAGGGATTCCGGCTGATCAGACATGATGAACAATATGTCCTTGAAGGAGGAGATGGTATACCGAGGTGAAATGATAGGAGGAAGCAGTGATAGTCTGGAACTTATCGTCGGGGAAACTGGCGGAGATGTCATCGGTGTTTGTCCCGTTTGCAACCAGCTTTCCCCGCCGCCGAGGATAAGAAAGCCGTTCCTGACTTGCCTTCGTCGTCTCTCGCTTCCCCACGGATCGCATCATCGTGGATCTGTCTGGAATCAACATGGCCGTCCCATCTACTTACGATGAGGTCCGACAGCACCTGGAACAGGTGCAGCGCGAGCCCTCCACTCCTCTGGATACGACTCTCCTAGACAAGTTGAAGCTCGAGCTTACCGAGAACGTCGATCGCAGAGTCCCCGCCACCCTTTTGATCCAGATATCGCAGCTTCTCCCCGTCCTGCAGGAGGACCCGACTCCTCTTACCGCTCTTGGAGTCAAGGCTACTACGTATCTCAGCTTCGCTGACCTTCACTCCGTCGATCCTCCGATCAATTTCATCGCCGGTTTCAAGGCCCCATCGGAACCCATCAACCTATTGGCTCTGTCATTGCTGCGCAAAGCAGGTCATGTCGCTAGTGATGCTGCCATCGTTGCCGGCGATCCGGAATTGGTCTCGTCTCTGGTGGAGCTGTGGCTTTCGACCTCTTCCACAGCGGTAGCACAGGCGGCATTTGACACAATTTGGGAGCTGTTGGAGGTTGACTCGGCCAGTCCGCTCGAGAATAGTGGGCATGAGGGAGAGGAGGCCACCGGTGGACAAGGGCTCGTTTGGAGACGAATTTTCACGGACAAGGATGTTTATGGACTGCTATTTTCCCTCTGCAGTCTCAAGGAGAATGGATCCGGAAGTCTGTCCAAGCGCGACAAGACTGTAGCCCAGGGACGGTTGATGGGACTGCTTGTGAAGGCGGGTCGACTGCATTGGGATATTATTTCGAAGCCACAAGTGCCAGAAGTTGAGAGGAAATACCAGAGCAATGGCCTTCTCCATTTCGCTGCTTGCCATATGGTCGACAAGGATGATGTGCTCATGCATATGACTTTGATTAACTTTTTTCATGATCTCCTGGAAATTGATGCGCCTGGCCTCATCGCGCGGACCATTGTGCAGTCAGCGTCCACCTTCTCCTCTCCCGCCCTGGATTTCCTTATTTCGCATAAAATCCACAGTACGCTATTGGAGTATTACTTGGATGAGTCAAAGCTGGACGCGGTGGACCTGGCTTACCTGTGCGGACCTATCATGACTTACGTTGCGCAGTATGCTGAGCTGTATCCCAACCACTTCCTGCAAAACCCACAGTATCTGCTGGACCGGATACTATCTCGCATTGCTGCTTCGGTGGCGGTTTCATCTTCCCAATGGGCGCATGGTCCAGTTCCTAGCGGGCAGTTGAACGTACTCTCCTGTCTGCCCCGAGTGTTGCTCGTGGAAGCCAGCAAGCAGGGATTGAACCCTGTACTGGCCTTGCCAACCAGTCCTCCCAACAAAGAGGCTTTGGACGTGCTGGCTAAGATCCTCCATGGCCCAATTAAGCAAGACCTTACAGACTCGATGGAGTTGAACGCATCTGGTCAGATGCCGACAGACTGGCACAAAGAGGCTGCGGCCGCCCGCACGCTGTACTTCATGTACACTAATCATCATGCCAACTTCTGGACTGATGTCGTCGCGACGGCGGATATTCTCGCTATGAAGGATGTCTCGTTGGCATCGATATCGCTCATGAAATCTCTCATCACTGCAAACTGGCAGATCTTGACGGGCGAAGTCACCTCGTCTGTTCCCGGGACCTCCCGATACCAGCTTCCCACCGAACAAGCTTTGGAGAGTTTGTCTCCGGCTACACAAGGTGTTCTTCCATCATCGGGTGCTTGGGCAGCTCTTACGCCTCCAGCCCTGACTATTCTCTTGCCATATCTGTTCAAGCCTCCTCGCTCATATGCCGAATTTGTCGGGGGCGGAGCAGGTGATTCCCAGCATGCGGTCTGGAAAGTGGCCACGGCGAAGTACGAGGTCTTGGTGGCGCTGTATGACTGTCTCAAGGAGAACGGTGGACAAATGGAAGGATTCGAGGATATCATGCGTACTCTCCGGCAACGGGTGAACGAGGGGCCATGGGGGCCTGTATCCCAGACTACGAACCAGGTTGCCACTATTGGCCTATAAGGCTAGCGCTGCGGACATGCCCACCTCACTGGACGATTTACGATTATGCCATTAGATACCTGTACTTTTCATCCTTCAGAAGTTCAGCAATGAGCAACTAATTTCAACATCAGTAATAAATAAATCCTACATACTACGTAGTAAAACTACTAATAGTAGAATAACTTATCACCATACGCCCTCTGATTGGCCCATCCCAGCCATCCCAGGGTTCCCGCCCCGGTACCCTAATTACCCAATTCGCGCAGATCTCCGCAGGCGGTGAGCCAAATGCAAGCTCGGCCGGAACTTTTTTCTCAGCCATTGGATCATGGCGCTGTGAACGCCCGCCAGCGCTTCGGCCTTTTCCTTCCTGGACATTTAACAATCTGGCCCCAACGGAGCCATCCTCAACCGATTGACAAAAAGGGGGCACATTTGCAGTGAATATTATCACCGCCCGGCATGTCCCGATTCGGCGCAAAGAAAGGCAGAAAGCTCCCCGGAGCCGAATTCACTTGGGAGGCAGATCCCAGCGGAGAACCTGATACGGCGCCGACGCCTTTGTTCCCGGTATGTTTTGGGCTGATGTGATGTGATGTGATATATTTGCTTCTTTGTCCGTTTGCTTTTGTGACACGGTATTTTCTTCGTTGCTGTTGCGTCTACCAGCGTCGTTTACATCACCCTGTTGCTATAGCATTCTGGCTTGCTGTTACTTCTTCTTCTACAATAAGAGAAAGGGACAGGTTCTAATCATGTCTCTCTACAACCAGAAATACACCGTCCCCCGCGCCAGACCTCTCACCTCGCAGGAACAATTGCAGGTGGATTTCTATCGTACTCTCCGGGAACGGTTCCACGATGGCCCGTATTACTCGATTCTGGAGGGGGCGGGGTCGACGATGAAGAAGGATAGCGCGGCGCGGGTGAACTTCGATCCGTTTCATGGCATGCCTAGTTATTCGGGCAAGTATCAGAAAAAGAAGAGGGCGTTGCCGAGGTTACAGGGGAGACAGTATGGTGAGTTTGTCCATTATTTTTCATGAACGACGTGAGAGATATGTGCTAATGAGATCGTCTTTGTAGTGATGAAGTTCTTCCCCCGGGAATTGTGGCAGACAATTCAGCCGACGTTCAAGCCCGATGCCGCGATGGATGGGTACGTGCCGCAGGTGGCGCGGGCCGGGGTGAAGCGGGGATTCGAGGACGATGATGAAGAGGAAGATGAGGATGCGGCGAAGCGGGCGAAGGCTGGTGGTGAGGAGGGTGAAGGAGCTGAGGATGATGATGACGGGGACGGGGATATCCTGGATCCGGAGGAGGAGCAAGAAGGGGAGGAGGAGATTGAAGATGATGACTTTGAGGATGATGATGATGAGATGGGTGGGGATTATAACGCTGAGCAGTACTTTGATGGTGGTGATGATGAGTATGGGGATGATGGGTTCGGAGATGGTGGTGGTGGAGGGGAGGAGGATACTTATTAGATCGAGCTGGATTCTTGAGATACCCTTTGTTCAAAACTATTATTCTTTGTCGGTTGATCTTATCAATCTAGCGATTACTTTGGTTTTTCTCCTGAGGTTGATTGGGTAAATTCACGCCATTGCCGGAGTATCTGACGATATAATTATCTATCTAACATTAAAGTAGCACAACAGCGCATACACCAAATATTCTCCTCCTCATAACTACCTTAATACACTACAATCCTATCTCCAACACCAGCAATGCATACACAACCCCCTCTATCTACCCTCCAATATGCCTACCTTATCCTCTCCGATCCTCGGGATGACGTCATCCCGCTATTCGCGCCAACTGGACGATCGGATCGAACCCCTCAAGCCAAACGAGGGGAAGGAAAAAAAGAGACCCGCGAACGATAAGCCCACCCTATCCATTGAAGAACAGCACCACCACACCACACTACTACCAGGGAGAAATAGGGGGGTAGTAGATAGGCACAATGGACGGCAACCCATCAACCCCACCGCGGCGCTCAGCTCTCGTCCTCTATGGCTCCGAAACGGGCAATTCGCAAGAAGTCGCCGAGGAGCTGGGGGCGCTAGCGGAGAGGTTGCATTTCCATACGCATGTTGGGGAGATGAATGAGTATAGGCCGGTGAGTTTATACCTTTCAATTCGTTACGCTTAGTTATGTTTTACGTGGATTTGGATGTGAATGTGGGCGTGCAATGTATGCTGACGGGGTGTGTGACGATGTATAGGAGGTCTTGAAATCGCATACGCTCGTTATATTCGTTGTCGCGACGACAGGACAGGGTGACTTCCCGGCGAATGCAAGGTCGTTTTGGCGGTCATTGTTGTTGAAGAGGCTTCCGGGGGATTTTCTGGATGGGGTTCAGTTTGCGTCGTTTGGGTTGGGGGATAGTTCTTATCCGAAGTGGGTTTTGTTCTATCTCATACAAGGATTAAATGGGAAGAAGAAACTAATTGACTGGGTTGGGCAGGTTCAATTGGGCGGCGCGCAAACTGCATAAGAGGCTGTTACAGCTGGGTGCGAATGAGATATATGATGCTGGGGAGGCGGATCAGCAGCATCCCGAGGGGTGGGTTAAGCTATCGATGGTTTGCTGCTTGGGGATGGCTTTGCTAAATGAGTGTACAGGCTCGAAGGGACGTTTATTCCATGGTTGACAGGTCTGCGTACACATTTGCTCGAGACGTATCCGCTGCCTGAGGGGCTGGAGCCGATACCGGATGATGTTCAATTGCCGCCGAAGTGGATTCTGAAGCTCCAGGAGGGGAATGCGGCGACAGCACAGGAAGGACATGCAGTTCCTGGGACACATGAGAACCTGCCCGCGCCTGAAGAGAACCCGAAGTTGACTCGATTGGATCACGACCTGCGGCCTCTGCCTGATACCTTGACGGCAACACTTAGGGAGAATAAGCGATTGACTCCGCAGAAGCATTGGCAGGACGTGCGACATGTATCCCTTACGGTCCCTGAACATACGTCCTACGTCCCTGGGGATATGTTATGCATTACCCCCAAGAACTTCTCTGCCGACGTGGATGCTCTGATCCAAATGATGGGTTGGGAGGATAAAGCTGATCAGCTCATCTGCTTGGTTCCTAATAGCCATATCCCCGCTGATGATCTCCCTTTGCCACCTATTCGGGGTCTCGACTCCTACCCGCAGTTGACACTACGGGCACTTCTTACGGACTATCTCGATATTCAGGCTATCCCGCGTCGGTCCTTCTTTGCGGAGATTGCGCATTACACGAATGATGAGATGCACAAGGAACGTCTACTAGAGTTCACATATACCAGTCCCGAGTATCTTGACGAGCTCTGGGATTATACTACCCGTCCGAGACGAAGTATTCTGGAAGTCTTGCATGAGTTTGACACGGTCAAGGTGCCGTGGCAGCATGCTATTTCGGTGTTTCCCGTTCTTAAGGGGAGACAATTCAGCATTGCTAGTGGGGGCGAGTTGAAGAGGGGCCCTGAGGGCGGCACCAAGTTTGAACTGATGATTGCCATTGTTAAGTACCAGACCGTCATCAAGAAGATCAGACAGGGTGTATGTACACGGTATATATCTGCGCTTCGACCCGGAAGCACTTTGAAGGTACAACTGCAGCGCGGTGGACTCAATTCCTCCGTCAACCAGCTAGTTGGTCCAACCGTCCTGGTCGGCCCCGGCACCGGTCTGGCACCGCTGCGATCTATGCTCTGGGAAAAAGCAGCAATTATCAAGGCATATCAGGAGGAAAACCCCGGGGTTGAGCTCGGCATCGGACCTACGCTTCTTCTCTACGGCGGTCGCAACCGCGAGGCAGATTTCTTCTTCGAAGATGAATGGCAGCAGCTCGGCCAGTTGACCAAGTTGAATGTACTCACTGCATTCTCTCGAGATCAGAAACAAAAGGTCTACGTGCAAGATGTGATCCGGCAGAACTATGCGCTGCTGTTTAAGCTGCTGCATGACATGGCGGGGTCGGTGTATATCTGCGGTTCCTCCGGACAGATGCCCAAGGCAGTAAGGGAGGCGCTGACAGAAGCATTCCAGCACGGCGCAGAGGTGGAAACCGATCGATTCAACGAACAAGGGGCCGAGCAGTATCTGCTTGGCATGGAGAAGACGGGACGGTATAAGCAGGAAACTTGGTGATCCGCCACTAAGAGGTACCGTCACATGTGAAGCGGTTATACAAAGTACCATCAATGCCTATAGATAGAGCGATGGCATGTCTGCCATATCCGACACCACGCGGATAGAGGAAAACGAGCACAATATACCCACATACTCAATAGAACCAACGCACCCTATGAGGTCATTTCAATACCTTTTTACCCCACTAAACCTGCCAATCTGTCGTACAAAGTCCCATCATAGAAGAGGCTAACCTCGGCTGGCGGCGGAAGAGCAGCAAGTGTGGATGGAATCTCGGCCCGCCTCGGGGGACTCTCCGCCCAGGTCACCTGTTTTCTGCCGCGGAAGGGCAGCTGCTGCTCCGACGGATCGGTGTCTCTCTACTCTTCCCTCAAAACGGCTTCTTGCTCGCCTTAAGAGTCGACGCCCCCTCACTGTCCCTTCCCCTCCATTGCCCCTTCTCTTTTGAAGTCCCTTTACCACATAATATTGTCATAATGAGCGGCTTGCGAATTCTTGTCCCCGTGAAGCGGGTTATCGACTATGCGGTGAGTTTTGGTTTTTGTCGCCTCGTGCTCCTCCTGCTCCGTTCTCGGTGAAGAGTCACATCTCCGAGAGCAAAGTTGCCCGCACGCGCAGTTTGCAATTGTGCTCCGTCGGCACCAACACCTACATTCACCACACCATTATGATGTTATAGCGTACTATAGCAATATTGAGCATCACTGATAATGATAGGTCAAACCCCGCGTCAACAAGGCCAACACCGGCGTCGAAACCGCCGGTGTCAAGCACTCCCTGAACCCGTTTGATGAACTCTCCGTCGAAGAAGCCATCCGCCTGCGCGAACGCGGCGCCAAGAACCAGAGCCCCATGAAGGTCGAAAACATCCTCGCCCTCTCCGCTGGCGGAGCCAAGTGCGCCGATACCCTCCGCACCGCTATGGCCATGGGTGCCGACCGCGCATTCCACGTCGACGTTGGCGAGAGCCCTGATGGAGGTCCCGAGCCCCTGACGATCGCCAAGATGCTGCAGGGTGTGGTCAAGTCTGAGAACATTAACCTGGTGCTGCTGGGTAAGCAGGCGATTGATGGCGACCAGGGCCAGACCGGTCAGATGCTGGCAGGTCTGTTGGGATGGCCGCAGGCGACGCAGGCGAGCAAGGTCGATATCAAGGATGCGGATGGTACGGTGGAGGTGACGCATGAGGTGGATGGTGGTGTTGAGACGCTGCGGGCTAAGTTGCCTATGGTCATTACTACGGATTTGCGGTTGAATGAGCCCCGCTATGCTACGCTGCCGAACATCATGAAGGCTAAGAAGAAGCCTTTGGAGAAGAAGACGTTGGCGGATTTCGGTGTTGAGGATAAGAAGCGCTTGAAGACTCTGAAGGTTACTGGTAAGTTCACTTCCCTGCGTTGCACCCCCTCGGTGTTGTTTACAAACTAACCTGTTCCAGAACCCCCCGCTCGCCAGGGTGGTGGCAAGGTCGAGGATGTCGACGGCTTGATCGGCAAGCTGAAGGAGCTGGGTGCCCTGTAAATGTGGAGTAGGGCAGATGATTGGATACAATAGGTATACCTTTGTGTGTATGTTTACGACTAGACTCGCGTCCAGTGTCAGCTGAACCGGCTGGACCTTATTTCTCAATTCATTTATCACCCGCGGACCATGACCCCGACGTGTTGTCTGGCTCCTGTGTATTTACTTATGCTTAACTCTATCTGTGGCTGGCTATACCTGCTGCAGTGGGTCGACCGCACGAATCACTCATCGGGACAGGAGCAATTGCCTGTTAGAGTAGGAGAGTTCTCGATGAAGTACTATCTAGCTAGCTAGACAGCTGAACAGCTGAACTCGGGAGTTCATCCGGCAACTGAGTAGACTAGCAAACTGTCTCCAATATGACACATGTCTATCCCCCTGTCACGCTGACATATACCCACACGCACTAATAACAGCTAGTCGATTATATCCGTACGGGGATCCCGATCCGCTAGATGGCAACCAGTAGTCCAGCGTGGGACCCGGGCACCGGGAACCAGCCGGTCATCGAATCGGGATCTCGATGGAGGCAGATGATGGCTAGTTAGTACGGAGTAGTATCTATAGGGGGATGGTAGTAAACTGCATGCACTAGGATGAGTACTAGTTTGATTGAACTAAGCTGGATGGAGATATATTGTTGGATGTATACCATTTGTATAGATATACTATCTACCAGTAGATGATTAGTAGGCAGAAGGGAAGGGAATAAGGTGGATTTTATTGATAATAGGAATTAGTAGTAGTTAGTATATTGTTTGTTACTAGTAGGAGTTTAGTTTGATGTGAGGTTGCTCTAACTCTCAGGTTTATATGTATTTACTAGTTATATTGACTCTAGATCCTATACTGCATACTCACCCACACATGAAATCTAGATATAGTAGCATAGAGAAGTAGAGTTAACCTTCAATGCAGATATTCCACGAGCCAGACAAAGCAGACACACAGACACAAACCCAACTGCCGGACAGAGTGAACGACACTCCCGTTCGCAGTTCGCATCAGTCAACTAACTAACTACATTCTCCGATCGATCCATCATCCCCCCTCCCCTCCTATTGACAGAACTTTTTCCAATCCGATACATCATATCAGGCACGGTTGGTAGTGCGAACTCCAACTCGAACTGAACTCAAAAACTCAAAAACTCAATTCATCCACGGAGCACGAATGTATCCATCCACATCCATCTGTCTATCTAACTTTCTGATCCTTAGCTTAGCTAACGAACTGCATGATTCGCTTCCTTAGCTATTGATCCACTAGGGCATATGACAGGAACCCCAGCTATCCATCAACTAGGCTAGTGATAGTGTATAGAGTACACTAGTTAGTTCGTTTGGAAAGTCAAGCCGAAGTATGATGATCGTCGAATTGACTGGGTGATGGGTGATGGCTGAGTGTTTCGGCCGAAGTTGCCTCGTCTCGTCTAAGAATAGCTAGTAAGTAGTACGGAGTACAACACAAGGAGACAGGGATTGCATCTGTGGTTCAGCTGAGGTGAGCTGGACTGGAGTGGAGTGGAGTGTTTCGAATTAGTTGCCAGGGATCATGGAATGTTCTTTTCTATTTACATTTACTATCTATGGTTTACTATAGAGGGGAATATACTCACTCACCATCTGACTGTCCATCAACAACAGGTAGGGGTACAGAGAGACCTTTTTCTCTAGGTTACCTACACCCTACCCAAGTATGATAATAACCTTCTCTTCTCAACCGCAATAACCGCATCAATCTTCATTCCTCGTGGACCTACCTTCCTTCCCACCGATGGCATATGATATATCCAAACAAAAAGCTAAACCATAAAGCAACACGGGAAGTGAAAATTATTTTCTCGTTCTAATGCGCACATGGTCCTGGACCAGGTCCAGGGGAGATGGAGATGAGAGGTTCGTTCGTGAGTTCTGCTCCCGTTCCGTCCGTTTCCTCGGCTTCAATGACCCGGGATGATGAAACTCTGTCTGAAGGGGTGATGGTGGGTAGGTTGGGTTGGACTGGTCAGGTTGATCTAACTGTATTGAGTAGTAGATAATATCTTTGGTAGGTAATTAGGTAGGTAGATAGGTCTGTGGTACCTTTTGTAACAAGGTACTTTTTTTCCTTTCTTATTCTTGGTTTCTTTGCTCGAAACAATGCAATTGAAGGGGATGCTAAGTGAGCCACTTGCGTCAATTGAGTAGTATCATGTCCTGCTGGAGGTACCGGTAGGTAAGTAGGTATAGGTATAGTAGTATTTCAAGCAACGCATCTTCCCTGTCGTTGGTGAGGAGTGGAACTAACCAGACTAGACTAGACTATTGGATCTCGATTGGGGGTGGAGAAGAAGGGGGGGAAAGAAAATAAAATTGGACCTGTCAGGGACAGGATATTATCTATTTTTTCTACTTCCGGAGTAGTTAGCCAGCTATAGTATTTACTTCGATATTGACCTGGTGACTTGTTTACTTACTACCTACTTAGCTGCTGCTACTTACTCAAGCCTGCAGCTAGGGTTGGAGGGGATAGTGGAGAAAGGAAACATGAAACTAATGCAGAGAATTTTCTTTGCCTGGGCGACGAGAAGGAAATGAAGCGAGGGGACTACACCAAGTCAATGCGAAGGGATACAATTTACCCATCCATGGATGGGAGCCAGACAGAGAGCTAGTCTAGATACTAGTTAGGTTGACGGGCTGGCTGGTTTGGGGCTGAAGGAAGAAGAAAAAAAAGCAGCACCACTGCACGTAAGCAAAACAAATTCGCGGCAGAAGAAGCGATTGGACCTGTCATATTCTTCGGGTGGGAAGTTGATACATCCCTTGTGTGGGTGTTTTTTGTGGACGCAGGGATGAAGAGGGGAAAATTCATGCGGATCTAGTGGAAGTTAATCGGAAAATGAATTTTAATTTTTTTGATTTTACTTTTATGATTTTTTTTAGTTAACAAGGAAATTGTGAGGGTGGATTCTACGTTAGCAAGAAAGCAGACTAAACTAGACAAAGATTAGCTGGGGATCTGGCTCAGGGACTCTTGGCCCCATCGCCATCGCCATCGGGTACGTAGACGATGACGCTGTCATTGGGGGTTCATGGTTGAGGATTCTTCCACGGAAGGAAAGGCCTCATTGCGAGAACAGCAATGAACTGACATACAATGAATAATAGATTAGGATACAAGAATGTAGAGCAAAATATCTGAACTTCTACATCCGAACAGCCGACGGGCAAATTATGAATGTAGAGAAATCTAATCCGATCGGCTTATCGGGCGCGGCGAAAGCGATGACGCTGATGCTGCCATGATGCCATGCATCCGGAACCAGACTGAAGGAATCACTGCCTAATCGTCTTGTACTCCCCTTCTCTCTCCTCTCACACATCAGACTCTCTCCACTTCCTCGTCATCTTGCTGACTGACTTGACTTTCTGTACGCCTTTTCACCCGGCCGTTCCATCTCCGGCCAGCCACTTACTTCCCTCCCACTTCCCAGTCCAACCATGCCCTTCCGACCCAGCCGTGTGAGTATTCGTGCCTGGTTCGCATCCACGGCTCTCCAGACTTCTACCATTTAGTTCTTGTCTTCCCCTCTCGCATTCTGTGAGAGGATCCGTCCGTCTTTTCCCTTTCTGCTTGCTTGCTTGCTTGCTTTTTCTTCCTCCTCCTCCCCCCGACTGCATTAGCTCTCGGTCATACATCCAGCCTACATCTCTAGCACATCTGACCGACGGGTCCTACGGGTCGATCACCCCCCTCCACTCTGGGGTTACCTCTCTCCTCCTACATAAACTGTCCCTGCTCCTGCTTGCTGCGGACACGGAAATTAGCTGCTGTTTCATCTGGTCCCTTTTTTCACCTTCTCTCGGATATATTTTCAGGTTTCCTTTTCGTGGCCCTGGCGAGGCTCAGGCGGAGGTAAGCCGACCCCCGAATCCCATTTGCCCGTCCCATGGTTCCCCTCCTTCCTTTCCTCGTATGTCACCGGTTCTCCAGCTGCTCGCCACCCACTCAAGGCTCGGTCTGGAACGCACGGCTAGCACGGCGAAAAGCTCGAGGTCGTCTTGGGTTTAATAATATGGCCCTCTCCTACTTCTTCTGCATCCATACATGCAATTTTCTCTCGTCGCAGATCACTGACGTTCCGGCTACTATATAGTTGACTTGCATTCTCACTACTCTCCGGACCCGCATTCCTCGGTTGTCATCCCAACTTCTGTTGCGCCCGTTTGCTGCCTCTTATACATTCCTGGCCGCATTGGGACTTTATGTGAATTACTGGGGCCGTCTTCGTCTACAACTGCTACTGCACCCGCAATTATAGACTGCCTCATTACCCACTGCGCGGTCCTCGGGACTCCGTCCTGTGTTACTCTGCTTGGTAGGCTTGGTGACCCCACGGGATTCTGAGTCGCCACCATGCCTTCCACTCTGTGGGAGAAGACGAAAGGCACATCTAAAAAAGGATTCGATAAAGCATGGCATACCCTCGACAAGCTGGGCGATCCCGTCAACCGGCTTTCCTATAAGGTCGGCGCAGAGGCTTTCTGGCCCATGACCCTCGATAAAGAAAGCGATAAAGCGGCGCGCATTTTGCGAAGTTTCTGCAAAGATGGTTTTTATTCCAACGATGAAGCCGAACGGAAAAGCACCGACAGCTCGATCAGCAAAGAATCCGGCAAGATAGATCGCCCCAAGGGCAAGCAGCGGGTCTTAAAGAAGATCCCCGCTAGGGTTATACAGCGGGCTAAGGGTCTCGCTATCTTCACTACTATGCGCACAGGCCTCTGGGTCAGTGGCTCGGGTGGTAGTGGTGTGCTCCTGGCGCGGACCCCAGATACCAACGAATGGAGTCCGCCTTCCGGCATTATGCTTCATACGGCTGGTATCGGTTTTCTGGCGGGCGTGGATATCTATGACTGTGTGGTGGTCATCAATACCTACGAGGCCTTGGAGGCTTTCAAAAAAGTGCGGTGCACCTTGGGTGGAGAAGTCAGCGCTGCAGCCGGTCCGGTTGGGATGGGCGGCGTGCTTGATTCGGAAGTGCACAAGCGCCAGGCCCCCATCTGGACTTACATGAAGAGTCGTGGTCTGTATGCTGGCGTCGCAGTGGATGGTACCATTATTATCGAGCGTACCGATGAGAACGAGCGTTTCTATGGCGAGCGCATATCGGTTACTGACATTCTCGCGGGCAAGGCCAAACGGCCTCCTGCATCGATTCAAACCCTCCTCAACACCGTCAAAGCTGCCGAGGGCAACCCAACGGTGGACGAGAACTTGCTGCCACCCGGCGAAACCCCTGGGGATGTTGAGCTTGCGCCGGGACCGGGCTCGTTCGGAATTCCCGACCCGGAGGACCCTGATCCATTCGGTGTCAAGGCGCTGGAGGCGGAGGGTCTCTTCATTCGCGAAGCTGGATCAAAATCCAGACCATCGCAGGAAGCGTTTGAGTTTAAACCCGGCCCGAACAGCCCGATATTTGCGACTTTCCGACGGAGCATCGACAGCTCACCACGCAATAGCTGGCGAGCAAGTGTGCAGAGCTACGCCAGTATGGATCGAGGGACCCAAACTGATGATGGTCCTACGACTGCCCCGACCTCTATCAGTCGTGCCTCCTCCCGGAGCTACCGTGATGTATCCGACCGGGCCGAAACCAGTCCTTGGGACAACGAGGAGGGACGCTGGGAGACTGTCATCCCGGAACATGATGAATACCACGGTCGGGATGATGTTGAAGAGGACGTGGATCTGGAGGATGACGATGTGGAAATTCACGAGGTCAGCAGCGCCACTGTGTCGAAGCGCGAGAGTGCTGCCCATTCTCCTGTCCCGATTGAAGATTCCATCGCGCCTGTCGAATTCAAGCGTCACTCGCCTACCTTTACCAGGGCACGCCTTGTGACGATCCCTAAGCGGATTCCCCCGGCCCTTCCACCCCGGAACCCCCAGCGGACACCCGCTCCCGTCTCGACCTCGACTCCTAGCTCGCCTACGGCGAACCCCTACGCACACAGCCGCCGGCGTTCCGTGGCATCTAGTCCGGGACACGCCACATATGGGTTCACAGGGATGCCTCTTTACCACAAGAGCGATTCGGAAAGTGACCTGTCCTCCGCTGGCGCTCCCGAGTCGTCCAACAAGCCGTCACCAGACCGCGAAGAGTTCCACTCGGTATCCAGTCTGCACGACTCGGACGTGGCATCCGAGAAGGAGACCGAGGCCAAGGAGGCCAAGGAGATCGAGACCGAGGAGAACCACGAGCCATCATCTGATGCGAGCACTCCCACATATGTTCACGAGTCTGATGTCTCGCCCTGGGCGAAGTCTGACACAGACCTGGCACCCACGAAGACCATCACTTCTGATGACCACGTCAAAGTTGATTCTACGGCACAGCCTCAGGCTGTGTGAGTGCTAACAGCACATTACCGCCACTTCTTTGTATATATCCTTCTGGCATATTGTTATTGGGATTCATCCCGTTGCATATTGCATGTTGATTCCCACTGTGTTTCGGCTGTTTGTTTCAGAGCCATCAGCTCTTGTTGTTATGTTTTATGTCATAGTGTAATGCTAGCCTTAGCGTGCGTGGTGTTTGAATTTCAGATTGGGCATGGATACCTGGGCGTCTCGGGATGGATACTGGGACGTGGTAAGATGCTTGGAAGCGTTGATTTTGAGTTTGACAATATATCCCTATGTTTCTCTTCTCCACACCCTTTTACCGTAATGCGACAGCATTGTGTAGAGTGCATTGCCTTAATTAGAACCTACGAATCCTTGATTTGTATATGACACCCGATCACCATCGAGCCACCTACATCATGGCGCGCTCTCAGATCCTCCGAACCAAAACAGTAATGTCGATCGTCGCGCCTGAACCAAGGCTGATTTTCCCTGCTGAAGCGTGTCATAAAGTGAAACATACTTTGTAGATAAACTCGGCAATTAACTGCCACTTACCCCATACATCGCTACCGGAGAGTGGAGCGAGTGCACGGCCATCAAGTGAAACTGATAACCGGCGATCCGCCGGCTTATCGGCGATGGCGTTATCAGAGGGACCTTAGTAGGTTGCACAGTTCACTAGTATTTATTACTAAGTACTTCCTTCGCCTTGCTTATTGCCCATGATTCGTCCTTCTCTTTTTCTTTGGTTAATTGAACTACTCTCCATGAGAGTTCTGTACAGGTTGAGATAGACCAACCACCACCACCATGCCTTTTCCCTTTTCGTCCGCTCTTCTCGGCTATATCTTAACTACGAGCACTACTCTCACCTCCCTAGTCGCAGGACAGTATTACCCTCCGACGCCTGAGGATCTCACCGTTATTCATTCGGAGATATTCCCTGGTGCGAGGATCTCCTATAAGCAAGTGAGAAATACACCACCCTTCTCCTCAATCCCAATCTAACACCCCATACTAATACTATGTGACCAGCCCCTCGGCATCTGCACCACCACCCCCTCCACCCCCAGCTACTCCGGCTACATCCACCTCCCCCCACACACCCTTACCAATCTCTCCATTCCAGGAATCAGCATCTCGCAACCATACCCTATCAATACCTTTTTCTGGTACTTTCCTTCCCGCCATCACCACAACAATGATACATCCCCACTCACCATCTGGATGAACGGCGGGCCCGGCGGATCCTCCATGATTGGGCTATTTCAAGAGAACGGGCCATGTACTGTGAATACGGACTCGAATTCCACGGCCTATAATCCCTGGTCGTGGAATGAGTACGTCGATATGTTGTATATTGAGCAGCCGGTGCAGACGGGATTTAGTTATGATGTGTTGAGGAATGGGACGTTAGATTTGGTTAGTGGGGAGATAGATGTTAGTATTAGTGATGGTGAGAGGGATGGAGTAGGACAGAATGAGACGTTTTTGGTGGGGACGTTGCCGAGTCAGGATGTGCATGGGACGGTGAATGGGACGGTTAATGGGGGAAGGGCGCTTTGGGTTGCGTTGCAGGTTTGGTTGGGTGAATTCTCTGAATATGTTTCTTCTGTTGACGGGAATGGTGGTGGTGATGACAGGGTGAGTATATGGACGGAGTCATATGGGGGACGGTATGGACCGGCATACACGGCGCTCTTTCAGGAGATGAATGAGAGGATTGAGAGTGGGGAGGTAAGCACCGGGAAGAAGATCCATTTGGATACGCTGGGCATTATCAATGGGTGTGTGGATTTACTCGTGCAGGTCCCTTCGTTCCCTGAGCAGGCGTATAACAATACGTATGGGATCGAGGGAATCAATCGCACGCTCTACGACCGGGCTATGGATAGTTGGAGCAAGCCTGGCGGGTGCAGGGATATGATCATCGAGTGTCGCGATGCTGGCGAGCTCGGAGATCCCCTCATGTATGGCGACAATGAGACGGTAAATAGCATCTGCGAGGAGGCGTCGGACTACTGTTCGCGGGAGATCAAGAGCCTGTATACGAATACCTCCGGGCGAGGATACTACGACATAGCGCATTTCACGCCGGATGCAGCTCTCGTGCCTTACTTCGTCGGGTTCTTGAATCGCCCATGGGTGCAAAAGGCACTTGGGGTCCCGGTGAACTATACCATGTCGTCAGAGGCAGTGGGGAACAGTTTCGCCTCGACGGGCGATTATCCGCGAAATGATCCCCGCGGAATGATCGGGGATATTGGATACTTGCTTGACTCCGGTGTCAAGGTGGCTATGGTATATGGGGACCGGGACTATGCTTGTCCGTGGCGCGGCGGGGAAGATGTCAGCCTGCTGGTGGAGTACGAGGATGCGGAGAAGTTCCGTGCTGCTGGGTATGCCGAAGTGCAGACGAAGTCATCCTACGTTGGGGGTCTAGTAAGGCAGTATGGGAACTTCTCGTTCACGCGTGTCTTTCAGGCGGGCCATGAGGTGCCATTTTATCAGCCCGAAACGGCGTATGAGATTTTTAATCGCGCTCAGTTTAATTGGGATATTGCGACGGGAGGCATTTCTCTGGAGCAGAATCAGAGCTATGGGACGGAGGGACCGTCGTCAACGTGGCATATCAAAAACGAAGTGCCGGAGAGCCCTGAGCCGACGTGCTATTTGTTGGCGATGGATTCGACTTGTACGGATGAGCAGAGGGAACGGGTGCTGAGTGGGGATGCGGTGGTGAGGGATTGGGTTGTTGTTGATGATATTGAGGCTGAAAGCTCGTTCAGCGGTGTTGGTGATCAGCTGGCACAGGTCCCTTTGGGACATTGACGTTGGTTGCCATATGTTGACAGTGTTGGTGGATGAAAGTGATATAGATGGATAAAGTTAGTGCATAAGTGCATAGCTGACTAAGAATGAGCATCATTCATATATGGATAAGTCTGGCTAGCTCGATCCGGCAAGTGGCCGGCTGACTGCCTAAAGTGGAAGACTGGAAGCCTTCAGATTTCCATCAGTCCATCTCAATATCTCCATCTGGCTTGTCAAACTCCTATATCCACCGGCCGGACCCTTCTATTATTAACAGCGCCGCTATCACCCGGACAATCCGTATGGCATCACGGGTTGACCCCTCCATTGCGGCCATCGAACCTTCTCGAACCTTCTATTGGTCGACCGCTGCGGTCAACGTCACACGTCACCGCAGGCTCACCTGAAAGCCGCCGGCGTTGCACTATACATCAGCCCTCGTCCTCACACCTGGCTTTCTCCGCTAATCCTCCAAGTACACCCTTCACTGTGCCTTGATGTCTTGAATCAACATCTATAAAAACTGCATTATCTCCCGTTTGATATACGCTCGGATCGGATCGCGGATCGTTGAATCTTCTACGTCATTCGAGACTCTACTCCCCTCCCCTCGATACTTCCCATCTCACACCGTGGTGTGACTCCCTCGTGGTGTGCTTATATGGTGTCTGGACTCGCCAATTAGCGCCCTGCATCACATTTCTACCACGTCTGTCGATTTCGTGATTACGGTTCCTTTGACCTATCCTCTGGCCCTCACCAATCGACTCCACAATGGTTGCAGAAACGAAACTCTACGATGCCCTCTCGATCAGGCCCGATGCCTCGCAGGATGAGATCAAAAAAGCTTACCGTAAGGCAGCATTGAAGTACCACCCCGACAAGAACAAGGATAATCCGACCGCCTCGGAGAAGTTCAAAGGTATGTTCTGACTCTACTTACCCCGCCCCAGCCTCCCTTTTAGGTCAATGGTACTAATTTTCTACAGAGGTGTCCCAGGCATACGAGGTTCTTTCCGACCCTGAGAAACGAAAAGTTTATGACCAATTCGGCCTTGAATATCTCCTTCGTGGCGGTCCCCCGCCGACCAGCGGTGGTGGTGGTGCCGACGGCCCCAACCCCTTCGAAGGTGGCATGCCCGGCGGGTTCTCGTTCGGCGGCATGCCTGGCGGCGGCGGCGGCGGTACCCGGACATTCCACTTCTCGACTGGTCCCGGCGGCGGCGGCAGCGGGTTCCGGTTCAGCAATGCAGACGATATCTTCCGGAACTTTGCCAAAGGCAGCATGGGCGGTATGGGTGGTGGTATGGGCGGCGGTATGGATGACGACGATATCTTCTCAATGCTGGGAGGTGGGCTTGGCGGCGGTCGGAACTTCCGGAGTAGTCGCGGGCCTAGCGGATTCAAGCAATCGTCGCAGCGCGCGCCCACGCCCGAGCCCACGGTCATGGAGAAGGAGCTACCGCTGACGCTGGAGGAGTTGATGCGCGGTACGACCAAGAAGGTGTCTGTGAAGAGCAAGACGTTCGATGCGAGCGGCAAGCGCACCGTGCAGGATGTGACGCTTGAAGCGAATATCAAGCCGGGTCTGCGCACCGGCTCGAAGATCAAGTACCGGGGAGTAGGCGATCAGGAGGAGGGTGGCCGACAGGACGTGCATTTGATTGTAACTGAGGTAGGTTTTTCCCCCATTCATATGATATTGGTAAATATACTAACAGCCAGCAGAAAGAACACCCCAACTTCAAACGCCAAGGCGACAACCTCGTGACAACAGTTGAACTCAGCCTAAAAGAAGCGCTCACCGGCTGGGAGCGCATCGTACGCACGATTGACGGCAAATCCATCCGAGTGTCCAAGCCCGGCCCGACACAGCCCGGACATGAAGAGCGGTTCCCCGGACTGGGCATGACGATCTCGAAGAAGCCCAGCGAGCGCGGCGATTTGGTGGTTCGGGTGAATGTGCGGTTCCCGGCTAGCCTGAGCGCGTCGCAGAAGGACATTCTCAAGGACGTTCTCCCGTGATTCCTTTTTCTTTTTGATACTCCTATTGTCTCTACCCTATTTCTATTCCCATTTCGTCGGTCTGTTAGCATTATGGCGTTGGGCGTGCGGCTGGTTCCGTGATGAGTGATGGATGTGATGATGACGATGCAGTAGTAGCTTGGAATAAAAGCTTATATACCTGTATGAGTGATAAATTGGTTAATGTAATGCTACCATATTAAATCCCTACAGAATACTGTTCATACCTATAATTACACTATAATGGACACCGATAGAATAACTACCCAGCCTATCATATCATATCACATGTCCATCCGAAACAGGACCAGCTAGCTAGCTAGCTAGCTTATCGATAAGATAGCGGTCAACAACAACATCTCACCTCACAGCTCCAGCTCGCTCCATCTCCGCAAGACAACCAAACCAACTCACTACCAATCCATTCATTCACCCCCCCTCTTATCTCACCAATTTCCTTACCTACCTAGCCACCACAACCACCAACAATCGAAGAATTATAATAATTGAAAATGAAAACAAGAATAACCTACCTCCAACCCCCCTCCTCGCCATTCACCTCCACCCAAGCGACCCTCACCCCGTCATCACTCAAGATCAGCGATCTAGATGCTGCAAAAGAAGTCCGCGTTACGGTTGATCTGAGTGAGGTGGATGATGATGAGGTATATTGCCCTCTCTCTTTTTTTTTTTTTTTTTTTACTCCCTCGGTGTGATGTAATTTAGCTAATGCATGTGGAATCTCATCTATCTAGGTCCGGAGTATCTTGACCAATCTGCACGAAGTACATATCCGCTGGGCGAGGGAACAACCATATGGGATTGTTTCGCCGTTCGGGAGTAGGGTTTCGGCGGGGTTGGGGGTGGGTGTGAGTCCTCTTCAGGGTGGGGATGATGGGGATGGGGAAGGCGTATGTCGTCTTCTACGGAGGATGTTTGGGACGGGGATTGAGTGTGCTAATTATATGGTACGTTTTACATTTTCAGTTCTGGTGAGGTATGTACATGGGATGCTTATTCGGGATATTTATACATGTAGGACTCATTCACCAGCCCTCCCGTTGTCTCTACGCGTTTCGCGTCCACGTCCACGTATCAATTCCACTCTTCCCTGCCGGAACATAATCTTGGGGAGTATATAGTGAAGAATATCTGTCGCGAGGAGGGTGCTGCGTGCGCTGCGGAATGGGGTGCCGCTGATAGCATCGACGTTGACTATGATGCTGTGTCGCGGGCGCTAGTGGTCTCCGGGTACTGGGGCCAGCCTGTTACTCCGGAGGGATGGACGGAGGAGATTCGTGCGCCGGGGAGGGATCGTGATCGCGTGGAGGTCGGGTTGTTGGGGACGGAGAAGGCGGTCGAGGCGGAGGAGATTAAGGTTGGTGGGTTGTTGGGTGTTGTGGGTGTTGATAAGGAGTTGAGTATGTTTTCCCTTTCCTCTATTTGTTTGGCTGAGGGGATAGTGGTGTGCTAACTGCTCAGAACCAACGCTATTCTCCTTCCCCTCCAGACACCATGTCCTCCCTCGCGAGGCGACTTTCGACGTCTCCTTCCCCCGTCCGACGGGCACGCATCCAACCATGACCATTTCCCTGTCCCCGGCTGCGTTGGAGTACCCCGCTGCGCCGGAGGACACGACCTGTGCGCTGCATGCGTATCTGACGCTGCCGTCGTATATCTTCGGGGACAAGTACCAGCTGAGCACGGATGATCCGCTGTTCCTGGAGTCGCATCATCTGGTGGCGTTGCGGGCAGTGAGCGGGGCAACGGACCTGGAGGCGCCGGATTGGTTTGTCCCGCACTGGGGCTCGAATTGGCTGCTCGAGCTGGCGACGCCGTCTGCTGGCCAGGTGCCAGAGGAGTGGAACGTCACGGTGCCGCTGCATCTGCGGTACCTGCGGCCGTCGGAGAGTGGGTACCGCTCCGCGGGGGTGCCGTGGCCGGTGGTGTTCTGGGCTTGCACGGCGGAAGAGGGCACGAAGATGGGCACAAACCCGTTCGATCGCCTGAACCTCGGCTGGGATGGGATGTTTGGCCCACGGACGATGTTCTACCAGGTGCATCCTAGTGGAGAGAAGACCCGACATGTCGAAGACTTGGATGTCCCGGTGCTCCGGTTAGAGGAGGGCGGATTCTTCAGTAGCAAGACAGTGGAGCTGGGCACGATGGCAGCGATCGTCCTGGGATTGCTGTGGGTGCTGTGGAAGCTGGGTAGTGTTGCACGGTCTTCCGGACGGAAGAAGAGCGACAAGGAGAAGAAGTCGCAGTAACCCACCTCTCCCGCCCCATAGAATGTGTTTAGCGTCGAACCTCCACATTATACATCAGTGTACATAAACCGCTCCATATCGAAACTGCCCAAACTAGGAATATCAATCAGCAGATCACTCAACCACGAGAACCCCGGATAATCAGCCAGCGAATGATGCGGCTCCATAGAACCACCACCGCCATCAGCAGCAGGGCTAACCTCCTGTCCCATCTCAAACTGCTCGGCCGACGCCCCCGAATTAACCCTCAACACATCCTTCAACGCCTTCGTATCCTCCTCCTTCCTGCGTTGGTGCAATAGAATCAGCAAATACGCCGTACTATACGCCTCGCGCATCACCTCCGTATCATACGCGGCCGCCACCTCACGCAGCGTGCGCATCGCACCCCCCAACATGACCAACGACGCCCGATTGTCTATCGCCAGGAGCGTGCACACAACCTGGAACGGCACATTCGCGATCTGATGCCACGGACAGGTCGTCGCGACCATCTCCCTCGCTGCCTGGAGTCCCTTCACGGAGAGTGCCAGTACGCGGTCCAGTAAGTCCCCGGAGATAATGCAGTTCAGGGCGCGCAGGCGCCGGTAGATGCAGAGCATGAGGTTACATTGCACGAGGATTAATTGGGGTAAGACGTGGGATTGGTCAAGGACGTTGCGCAGCGCGGATTCGAGTTCTGGAGGGTCGGGGGTTTTGATTGTGTTTGGGTCGAGGCTTTCGGACATGGGTAGGAGGGTGAAGATTTCTGGGGTACCTGGGACGCGCGGTGTTGGGGGCAGGGAGGTTGCGCCGTGGAGGACGACCCGGGAGCGGGCGAGTTCAAAGGAGATCCAAACGTTGAGGTGGCGGGCCATGCCGAAGAGACGCCGGCGGAGGTCCGGGTCGACTGGGGTGGGGAGCTGGTTGATGGCGTCGGAGGAGGGCTGTTCGAGGTGCAGGCCTGTAGCTTCGATGAGGTGCATTAGGGTGCAGCTGGCTGTCCAGGCGAGGTTCGGGGTGGAGGTCAGGCGGAGGTAGGCGACGCGGAGGACCCAGGCTGTTACGGTGTCGAGAGTGGGAGTAGTGTCTGATAGTAGGGTTTGTTCGAGGATGAGCCGGGCTGTTTCGGCGAGTTGGAGCTCTGTGGAGCTGGATTGTCTGCGGGAGAAGAGGTAGCCAAATGCTGCGACGCCGCTGAGGACGGCGTCGTAGGGGCTGTAGAGGAGAGCGGACTCGGCTGTGGGTGGAAGCCAGCGTCTGCTGACTTGGCGAAGGAGGGTGTCGCGGTCGACGAAAGGGTAGCATGGGTCGACTTTGTCGAAGAAGATGGCTACGAGGGAGCGCATCTCGTCCTGCGAGATGGTATCCGTGATAGGGACTGCTTTGGGGGCGGATGATGGTGGCATTGATGGAGGTGGAAGATGACGCGCGCCGACGTTCCATGCGAATAGATGCATCTTGGGCGCATTGGTGGGATCGACCTTGAGGCCGAGTCGTCTGGCGAATGCTGCGCCGGAGTTGGCATCTAGCGAGCTGAGTCGGGCTGCTGTCTCCTCCGGGGAGATCTTGTGCTCGTGGCGCGGAGGATGCGCTGCATCCGGGGCCACTGGGGATTCTGCAGAAGCGGCGGACTGCAGTTGGAATAGCCTGGCATCGCGCTTCCTGCGTGATTGGAGGTCATAGTGGCAGTCGGAGCCGAACTGGGCGCATGTTGTGCATGGCTGGTCGCCGGAGCATTTGCGCTTGCGCGATTGGCATAGTGTGCAGGCGACACGGGAACGCTTCCTGGAGGGTTCGGTCATGTCTCCCTCGGCAGACCATGTTCATGACCGGAGGGTCTGAGGTGTTGATAGGTGTGAATGTGGGAATAAGATCAGGAAGTTGATTCCGGTCAGTTGATGTTGATAATAGTGCGGAGCATGTGATATATGAATGAGTCAGCATGGCATTGTGCGGCAGCATAAGATTTATCCGCATCTTATCTCTACTTGCTGATCTACATTGGACCGATCGACTAATTGCGAGGGTCTCAACATTGGCGATAGGGTCACTCTGTCGTCCTTCACAGTTTCAATGCTTTCTAGAGGCGGAGACTCCATTGACAAAGTTCATTTCAAATCCACCAACAGCAAATTGCAATGTGAGATATCCACAAATACGAGCCATCGGAGTCGGAGCCTCGCAGGCTCCGCTCCGCTTCAGCCCCCATGGCAGCGATGCCAGCATGGGTTTATCTTGTCTGACGATGAGTATGATGCCTGTGTAGCTGTGTAACCGGGGTCAAAATGCCAGCCGTACGGGCCTGTACAAACTGTGTCCGAGCAAAGACGAGATGTGCCCTCAGTGGAGCTTCCGGGACATGTGAACGGTTAGTCCGCTCTCATTGATATGCTAGTCAAGCTGACAGTCCTAAAGATGTGTACGCCTTCGGAAGGCTTGTCAGCCATCGCCTCCCGTGCGCAAGCGCCGGGTAGTGGCCAAGGCCTCTGCGAAAGATGTCCAGAAGCTGGAGGAGAAGCTGGACGGACTGTACAGTATCCTCCAGGGCCAGACGGGTCTGCTGAACGGACCGATGCAGCCGGCCCAGGAGCCTGTAATTCCAGCACCTCACACGGACGAAACTGTATCGTTGCCTATTCCTCTAACACAAGATCTGTCAGGAACAACATGTAGTCCGGCTGCTCCGTCTTTGGAACAGCCTCGGGCCACTTCTTACGAGCCTAACGATGATGATGCCGAGCTGTATTTAGCTAGGTTCCGCTCTGACTTTATTGACCATTTGCCCTTTCTTGACATTCCAGTATCTCAAAGTGCCCATCAGCTGCATGAGGAGAGTCCGCTGCTGTGGCTAGCTATAATGACTGTTGCATCTACTCGGACCACGCAGCAGAAAGCCATGTCCAGGCAGATGAGAGAGGCATTTGGCCGCGAGGCGTTTGTAGAAGGCACGAGGAGTATAGACTTCTTGTTGTCAGTCCTGGTATATGCCACCTGGGATCGCTACTACGCCCTTGACAAGCCGCTTTTTACTAGTTTGATGCAGTTGGCTATTGCAATTGTATACGACCTAGGCCTGGACAAGCCGCCGGTGCAGGACCCGAGTCTTCTGCTTAGCTATGACCTGAAGGGACACAATCGGCCGTCCCATTACTCTCGGCTGCCTACCATGCAGGAACGCAGAGCTTTGCTGGGTTGCTTTCTTGTGAGCTTCACGTAGGTGCAACGGAACTGTGTTATAAATGCCTTCTGACGTTCCAAGGTCGAATGTGTCCCGAAACGGCGAGCCACTTCAGTGGACGCCCTCATTCGACGACTGTCTTCGCGTATTCGAAGAAGAAAAAGAATCAGACAATGACACCCTGCTGGTGCAGCTTGTCAAACTACGCCTCATCACAGGAAAGGTGATGGAGGCACCAGGGACAGAGCCAAGTGACACCCAAATCCTGCGGCTATCAGCTTCAATCTATTTGCAGTCATTTCAGAAGCAAATTCGCACATTCCGATCACAAATCCCTCTCGAACTCACCAATAACAGTAAGCTCCCGTTCCCAATCAAATACCCAGCTAACGGCATCACAGAGATCCTGCAAATGGAGTTATACAGCGCAGAAATGATGATCCACGAGATTGGCTTCTCATCAGACCCAACTATCTTTCCTCGGCAATCAAACCAACAATTTGAATGCCTATGTGCCTGCCTCCAAACCATCAAGTCATGGACCGACAACATTCTGGCCCTGCAACCTGTAGAGTATGTCGGGCTTTCGTGCTTGATGTGTGCCAACATGGCGCGCAGCTTCATCAACCTCTACCGTCTCACTGTCTGTGACTATCCCGTTTGGGACCGTAAGCTGGTGCAGGAAACGATAGACGTGTCCTGGGTACTGGAAAGGGCGGCGCAGCGGTTCACGCAGGTCAAAGACGCGGCGGGACTCGATCCAGAAGGCACTCAGGAACTGGATTTCTTCATGATTATGGCAGCGAAAATGGAGGCCATGAAGATGTCGTGGGACACGGCGGTGATGCCAATGATGGAAGACTCGTGGGAGCCGACTTTGGATGATCTGGACATGTTCTCTAGCGAATTCCGCAATATGTGGAGTTGGTGATATCTCTGCAGCTGAGGAACAGTAAGAATACAAGACTTTCCGGTGCTTACCGATAAGCAGTTTCATAACCCGTTTGCAGGCGGAGGAATCTGAGGCAGTGTCTGGTCCATCGGAGCGGAGTGTCACAGCTCCCACTCCGATCCAGATATATCTCACATCCTTCTCCATATAAAAGGAGCAGCCATGTCATGACTATACTCCCATTGATCTTCTCATCCTCATCAATTCCTCAAGCTTCCCTATTCATCTCAATCACCTCCTCTTCACTCCTCCACATCCTCCCATATTTATCCATCAACAGCATCATCATCATCACCACCACCACCAACACAACCATGCCCTTCCACCCCACCAAAGACATACCGGACCTAACGGGTAAAACCATCCTCATCACCGGCGCCAACAGCGGCCTAGGCAAGACCTCCGTGCTAGAATTCTCGCGTCACAACCCCTCCCAAATTTGGCTCGCCGCGCGCAACCTCACCAAAGCACAATCCGCGGCGGACGAAATCAAACAACAAGTACCCACAGCCCGCATTCACCTCCTCGAACTCGACCTCTCTTCCTTCGCCTCCATTCAAAAAGCTGTAGAAGTATTCCTCTCCACCGCCACCCGCCTCGACATCCTCATGCTCAACGCCGGCGTCATGGCCGCACCACCGGGAATGACGCCCGACGGACGATACGAGGTGCAATTCGGGACGAATTACATGGGTCATGCGCTGCTCACGAGGCTGCTGTTGCCCATTATGGAGAAGACGGCGAAGCGGGATGATGCTGGTGTAGGTGGGCGTGTGAGGATTGTTGCTGTGGCGTCGCATGGGCAGCGGTATGCGCCGCCTGGAGGGTTGCAGTTCGAGACGTTCAAGACGAACGGGGAGAGTATGGGCCCGTTTGCGAGGTATGGGCAGAGTAAGCTGGCTCTTGTGCTTTGGGTGAGGATGTTGGCGCAGTTGTATCCGTGGTTGACTGCTGCTTCGATTGATCCTGGGGTGGTGGGCACGACGCTGGGGGATGGGGCTACGGGTGCACCGAGGTATATTCAGTTTTTGTTCAAGGTGGCGTTGGTGTTGAGGCTCGCGGCAAGTTTGGAAAACGGGGTGAGGAATCAGTTATGGGCAGCTGTGTCGAGGGAGGTGAACAGTGGGGAGTATTATGATCCTGTTGGGGTGGTGGGGAAGTCGGCGCTTGGAAGGGATGAGGAGTTGGCGAGGAGATTGTGGGTGTGGACGGAGGGGGAGTTGGATAATTATCTGGGGGTAAGGGATTGAGTTCGTATTGTATGTTCTTTTGTTGGTGTGGGGTTGCTTGGTTATGGTTTGATTTCTCTCATGGCTTGGTTTGATGTACTTCGGTGATGCAGCGTGTTTGGTATGCATAGTATCAGATCTAATGATTGCTCTCACCTTATCATATTACAGAATGCAGTCACAATCAATTCTTGGTACACTTGGTACACTTGGGGTATATCTTGATATCGGTCAATCTTCATATCTCTTCTCATCAGGATACCCCATATATCCTTCCAACTTCTTCCAATCCGGCGTTCAGCCGGCCCAAGCATATATAGCGACCCACAATCGGGTAATGTCCTACAACGGTGAAGCTGATGATCTCGTGGATAAGCGTGAAGAGCTTCGTCATGACCTTTTTCCAGGATCTTGAAGGAGTCCCAGATGTGAGGTTTTAGAGACTTAGATGCAGTTTGTCGAAGGGGATGAGGCCCTCGCCGTTGCAGTGGGTGTCATTAGGGGTTGAGAGTGTGCAGGAGAGGGAGTGAGGAGGGTTTAATTATTGTTGGTGTTGATGGTGTGGCTGGGGAGGGTGAGGGCGTGTGTTAAGGCTGGGAGCATGAAGATATTGAGGTATTCGAGGTGTATTAATATGCTATGTAGTAGGTAGGATATAGTTTGGGTGTTATGATGCTGATGCACGACATATACTGTAATGTAGGTTTTATTGATGCTATTATATATTGGTCTGATCAAGTCTTCGAGTACATAATCTGCCGTGTATCACGGTCATGTATAATGCAGGAAAAGAGCCGGTGCTGCATTAGATGGCTCTGTGGTAAGTTTAGCGGACTGTCTGCAGCTGGTTGGCTCCTCTGATTACAGTTGCACATCTTCCTAAGGATGTGTCTGAGCAATGCGACGGGTCAATTGGTTGTTGAGTCGTAACGTCTTCCTTGTGCTGACTAGCCGTGCGACTCTCGGTGCCAACTCCCAGGTTATATACCATCACCATCTACCCTTTAGCAGTAGTGGTCGTATACTATGATGTAGTAAAATAACCCCAGCATTCTTATATTCCGTCCGGGGTTTAGACTATTTATATTAGTCAAGAATATGCCGGAAAGAGAGAATGAAGGCTATCAGTTATGTAAAAGTTAGTCACCGAGATCTGCCATACTTGGGGTTATCAGAACCACGAAACCCACCAAGTGGAGAGACTTACATCAATAGTGAGTCATGGCGAGTGCTCAGTGGAAGGAAAGGGAGAACCCGCCCCCCTGTTTGGGGCAGCCATGGGATGGCTGGGTAGCTGTTCCTGTTGTTGAGCTGGCAGAGCTGCACTAATCCCTACTGTTCAGAGGAACTGGGGTTCATTATTGAAGAAAAAAATGGATCCATCAAGTGAAGGGCGCGAGAATCGGCGGATGCGTGAGTCAACGGGATGAATAAAACCCTGCCAAAGTTGGCCTCCCCGATAGCGGACTGCCTCAATGGCCGCCTTCCGATTGGCCGGACCAGCCAAACCAAGTCGGTGAGAGAGGACGGCACGTGCCACCCGACCGGGCCGGCACACTTTTTCCCTTCTTTTTTAATCTCTTGGTCTCTCCCTCTCTTTCTCTCCCTTTCTTTCTTCTCCGTATCCCAGATTACTCCCCCAGAATCATCAGCTCAACTTCCATGTCTAACTAATTAGACCCCCCTCCCATCTCAATCCATCTTGTATACCAATCCTCAGTGACTGGTAACAGCACAGTCGCGCTTATGCGTTTGGCACCTTCCGTCTTCACTTCTCAGGTACGTTGTCTCTCCCACTATGGGTTCCCATGGCTACTCCGCATTCCCCCCTCCCCGCCACTACCGTCACTCGCCATGACCATTTCAACATCCAATTGAAAGGCATTAATAGAATACTAACATGATATCTGCAGGACTACATCTCGGATCACCTCTGGAAAGCTTCCGGAAACTTCTGAATCCACTTCACACAACCCGCCGTATTCTTTTCTCGCAACAAATAAATTCATATCACAATGTTCGCTCGTGTGTTCAAGGCCATGCCCGCCAGGGCCCCTGCCTTCACCTCCGTGAATGCTTCTATCCAGTCCCGATTCATGGCTACCGTCCGTCAGGGACGTCCCGCCACTGAACGTGCCACTTTCACGATCCGAGATGGCCCCATCTTCCATGGGAAGTCCTTTGGAGCCCGCTCCAACATTTCGGGTGAAGCCGTTTTCACCACTTCCCTGGTCGGATACCCCGAGTCTCTGACCGACCCCTCCTACCGTGGTCAGATCCTGGTCTTCACCCAGCCTCTGATCGGTAACTATGGTGTTCCCTCCGCTGAGAGGGACCAGCACGGTCTGCTCAAGTACTTTGAGTCTCCCAACCTCCAGGCCGCTGGTGTCGTCGTCGCCGATGTGGCTGAGCAGTACAGCCACTGGACTGCCGTCGAGAGTCTCGGTGAATGGTGTGCCCGTGAGGGTGTGCCCGCCATCTCCGGCGTCGACACTCGTGCCATTGTCACCTACCTCCGTGAGCAGGGTTCTTCCCTCGCTCGTATCACCGTCGGTGAGGAGTACGACGCTGACCAGGATGAGGCCTTCGTCGACCCTGAGCAGATCCACCTGGTCCGTCAGGTCAGCACCAAGGCTCCTTTCCACGTCAGCGCCGCCGACCCCCAGTGCCACGTCGCTGTGATCGACTGCGGTGTCAAGGAGAACATTCTGCGTAGCTTGGTCAGCCGTGGAGCCAGTATCACTGTGTTCCCCTTCGACTACCCCATCCACAAGGTCGCTCACCACTTTGATGGTGTCTTCATCTCCAACGGCCCCGGTGACCCGACTCACTGCCAGGACACCGTCTACCACCTCCGTCGCCTGATGGAGACCTCCCAGGTGCCCATCTTCGGTATCTGTCTGGGTCACCAGCTCCTGGCTCTGGCCAACGGTGCTCGTACCATCAAGCTCAAGTATGGTAACCGTGCTCACAACATCCCGGCACTGGACACCACTACTGGCCGCTGCCACATCACCAGCCAGAACCACGGTTATGCTGTTGATGCCTCCACCCTGCCTTCCGACTGGAAGCCCTACTTCGTCAACCTGAACGATTCTAGCAACGAGGGTATGATCCACAAGACTCGTCCCATCTTCAGCACCCAGTTCCACCCCGAGGCCAAGGGCGGTCCCCTGGACTCCTCTTACCTCTTCGACATCTACCTGGACAGCGTCGTCAAGTACAAGAACCACCAGCTGGCGTTCCACCCCAACCGGAACACCGTCCCCAGCCCTCTCTTGGTTGACCTCTTGGCCAAGGAGCGTGTGGGCGTCCAGCCTACCATTGGCATGCAGAACGTGGCTGCCGCCGCTGCTGCTGCCGTTGCTGCCGCTTAAAAGGAATGTCATATGGAACTGGAGTTTGGGTTTGGGTTTAGGTCGGAATATCTTTGGTTGTACATGATTCTTTCGGTTTAGTTTGGGTACATTTCGGTTTAGGAATATATTTTACTTCACATACTACTTCAATCTCCCTCTTCAACATCAAAGTAGACAATAGTCATGTAGCCGATAACTTGGTTTGTCCCGTGTACCACTCAGAACTCGCAGCCCATACCTGCGCTGCTCATTTCGTTACACGTGCGTAAGAGTTGAGGCATTATTCATTTGCTGATACGGGCCCCAATCACCTTTGCCTAGCATAACACGTCTATATCCCCATTAAATCACATGAGTTCAGTATTTGACTCCTACTCATAACCCTATAAATACACTATACAATGAATATAGAGATCTTTCACTTATACACACGTAGTACATACACACTATGAAATCCAGCTGACTGCCAGATCATCCCCTAATACAGCGGCAGCTCGTAAGCATCAAAATCATACACCCAAGTCTGGTACGACTCCTCATCAAAGACACAGGTCAACTCCGTCCCATTGTTCACATAGTAAGGTCTGAGCGGCCAAGCACACAATTGCTGAACCTGACCGTAGTTCTCACCCTCCTGGACCGTTGCATTCAACCTATCGGGCTTCTGGCCGTTCTCTACCCAATCAAACAACGTCGGCAGGGTGCTCTGCGGCCAGCCGCCATTCGGCTGGTCCGTGCTGTACGAGCAGTGCGCCGCGCCAGGGACGAGGTACAGACGATTCCAGTCGTTCAGGGCGTCGGAGGACTCGTTAAAGGAGAGGGAACTGTACATCGTCTTGCGGACGGATTCGTGGTAGTGCACGGACGAGCCGGTGGGGATACTGGGGTCGGATTCGCCGTGGACGTGGATGATCTTGCCGCCGTTGGAGTGGAACGGGGTCAGGTCGGGCCAGGTGGTTTGGAGGACGTCTTCGTAGCGTTGCCAGCCCAGGGACATCCAGTTCGTCATGACATCGTAGGTGACGTTGTCGAGGGTGGAGAGGTTATCGACATCGCGGAGTTCGAGGAACTTGGCGACCCATTCGCCGCCCAGGGAGGTGATGTCGAGTTCCCAGGAGTCGGTGTCGGAGTTGTATTCCGTTTCGGCGTCGTCGAAGGTCGCGCTGGGTTGGTACCAGATGTAAGCGCGTTTGCCGTCGAGGGTCTTCAGGCCGTCGAGGATCTTGGCGGCGACGGCGGCGCCTTCTTTGGTGACGGTGCCGTTTTGAGCTGGGGTGGTGTTGCTGGTGGAGAGGCGCTTCTTGAGCACGGTGGTAGTGGTTTCGGCGGGACAGTAGTAGGGGGCGCCGATGGTGGAGTTAACGTTGAAGTGCAGCTTGCAGAGGTCGGTGCGGGCGACGACGCCGTCCTTTTTGCCGTCGAGGGCGTCGCAGGCGGCGATGGTCAGGTTGTTGATCTTCTCGAGTTCGCAGGGCGGGGGGTAGTAGCCCATGGTGTATTCGACGAGACCCGGGTAGAGGTGGTTGGGCTGCTGCTGGCCGTAGCGGATGGCAGGGGCGCCGATGACAGCGCCATCCCATTCCTCGCCGAAGCGCTGGACTTGGGACCAGCCCTCGCGGCCACCTTCGGAGCAGCCCTGGTAGTAGGAGTAGAGCTTGGAGGAGCCGAGGTTGAAGAAGTTCTTGGTGAAGGCCTTGCCGACAGCGCTGAGTTCGTAGTGGGCTTGGTAGCCGAACATGTAGAGGGCCTGGCGGTCAATGGTGCCGTTGGCCTTCAGGAAGACGGCGTCGAATTCGGTGGAGAAGCTACCGAAACCACCGTCAGTCTGGCCGGAGGCAGCAGCATACATGACACCGCCGGGCAGGTCAGCGCTGTCGCCGTTGATGGCATAGCCGAAACCACCGGTGGAGAGCCAGCGGTTCTTGAAGTCGGCTGGGGCAGGGAGCCAGAACTGCAGCAGGACCTGGTCATCGAGCCCGTCGTGGGTGTAGGCCAGAGTGACGTTGCAGAAGTCGAAGGTGGAGGCAGGCCAGAAGGCCGTGGAGGCGGAGCTGTAGTTGTAGACCGGGTTGGCTGTGATGGAAGTGGTGTCCACGGTGACGCCCATGAGGGGGCTGCTGGGGGCCACGGAACGAGCATAGGAGGATGTGCAGACATCCGCCAGGCTGGTCGCCTGGGCAAAAGAAAGTGCGGCCGTGCCGGCCAGAAGGCTCATCTTGGAGCGCATTGCGAGAGAGTGACTGAAATGAGTGACTTTCAATGCGAGAAAGAATGTGCTTGCCGGCGTGAACTACTGGGCAGATCCTAGCTGGCAGTAGAGTGATTTTATATCATTCAAGAATTTGAGAATGGCCGTTGCCTAGTGTGTAGTCCTGCTATCATCGCCATGGGTATCTGGCAAAGCCATGCAACTGTTGTATCTAGATTAAGGAGGACAAGCATCATCGACCCACCCCGGACATCGGAATTTCGGAATACGATAGAAAGTCACGACAGGCCATTGGTCAACGGGGAAGATGTACGCGTCCCCTGGGTTCGAGAGTGAAGTGCTTAGCAACTGCCCCGGGCCATAGATCGTCAGGCACCATTCGTGTCATCTGTGGACCGGTTAGCTCGGAATTAACGGGATGGGTGAGGACGTTGGTCGGTAGTGTTTTGCTTACCACGAAGATGCTGGATAAAGCCGTGATGGATGTGGTCATGTCTGATGCAAGGCAAAGAGGGCGAAGTAATTGGCGTGGTGGAAGGGAGGAAAAATAATTATAAAAATGAGAGCAAAGAGGACTGCAGACAGAGACCGAGGGATGAAGAAGAGGAAGTTGCTTTATCCGGTGGAGAGACGATAAGTCCGAGAAAAGCGGATGTTTCCACCCCAATAAGGAAGTCAAATCCTCAGGCTAAGCTTTGGCAGGGTCGGAACTCAATACCCTGACGCGTGTACCCTTAAACTAATCTTTTCTATTCCCTGCCAGGTGGATCCTGAACACTGAAGAATGATGAAGAGCCTGACGTGACTTGTTCTCCATCACTTCCAAGATCCAAGTCCGAGGGATTTCCGCCGGTGGGTTCATACGACAAAATGAGATCTGCAGAAAGTACACCAAGTCTAGTATCTACTCCGGCCGGAAATGTTCAGTTCAGAGAAGGCGCCGTTGGTTCGACTAAAGTGTAGATGCATGAACTATATTCCGCTTCATTTAGCAACAATCGACACCACGTCCTCATCCGACACCACATGTCCCAAGCCCACCCGCTGTGGGATATGGCGTGCACTCGCTCCCCATACCATCGCATACTTGAATGTCTCCTTCAACGTGCGGTGGATGTTATCGCACACATCCTCGATGGTTGAGTTGCTGCGGCAGATCAACGCCTCGGAGAAATCGGGTTCCTCGCCTTTCCTGTAGCATCGTTAGCAATGTCTCACTCGTAAAAATAGGTGGCTGGTCGTTGGCTGAACGAACCGTTTCGTGTAGACCCGGATCAGACGGAGTTCCTTCCAGATGCGATCCACGACGTCTTCCACACCCAGATCCAGTTCACAACTCATGACGGCTGTGTACGGTTCGCGGGCTAGTTGGTCGAGGAAGTCCAGACTGACACCGTCAATCTTGTTGTAGACGTAGAGACTGTAATCATATTAGATAAGTGATGAATGCTGATAGACGGGTAAAAAATTACCATCTGATGTATTTACGGTGATCCTTCATGATCACGTCAATGAAGTCGTCAATCGTGGCTAGATTGATGTCAGCGATGAGACTCAAGCGGACGGTTAAAACATGATTCGTACCATATTCATCACGAACCAACACTTCGCAGTTAAGCATCTTGTAATCGCGGAGAACATTGTAGATTATCTTCTCATCAAGGTACTTAGGCGGCGTCTGGAAGGTGATCTTCATACCGCCGGCCTTCTTCTGCTTAAGGTAGATGTTCCTACACCCATTAGCCCGATACCTAAAGTCAACAACGCTTGAAATACTCACGGAGGCTCCTTGTTCAACCTGATGCCTACAGCATCCAATTCCGCCTCCAGTAGCGCTCGTTGCTCCGCTCGTTTCGTAGCATCCAACACCATCAGAATGAGATCACTCGTCTAGGCCAAATTAGCCCCAGAGTTTTAGACAATACCTCAGATGCAGGGATCGAACAAACCTTAGCGGCCGAAATGACCTGTCTTCCACGTCCCTTACCCTCAGACGCACCCTCAATGATACCGGGAAGATCAAGAATCTGGATCTCCGCACCACCATACTCGAGCACACCAGGAATGGCAGTGAGCGTAGTGAACGCATACGCGGCCGTCTCACTCTTCGTCTTGGTGATCTTGCTCAGGAAGGTAGATTTACCGACGGAGGGGAAACCGACGAGAGCTACACGCGCATCACCACTCTTGCTCACATCGAAACCGGCACCGCCACCACCGGAGCCGCCTGTTGGCTCCAGGAGCTGGGCTCGTAGACGGGCAAGTTTTCTGCGTAGCAGTTAGTGCTGGTTCCACATGGCGGGGTAGACTTGAAGATGAGGGGCATGAGCTCGACTTACCCCTTCAGTAGACCAAGATGGTACTCTATAGTCAAGAGTACGTTAATATGGACCTAAGATGGCATCAACGGAGACATCAAATCGCACCTGTGGCCTTGTTCTCTGTGCACAGGTTAGCATGGCGGGGCTATCGAGACCTTGATATGCGATCGGAATACTTACTCTGCGTCCTGCGCATCTCATCTTCAATCCTATAAAGCGAGACCCAAGCGTAAGCAAGACATACCCCCAGACAGTAGCCGCAGACCTGCAATATGGGCAACATACTCCTTAATCTTTTCCGTAATGTTCACCATCTTGCCGGTTATGAGCCCCGCGGACTCGATTTCCCAGATACAACAAACGACACAACCAGACAACCGAAGCTAGATTTCGCCGCAAGCGAAGTCTCTCAAGTATCTATTAAACAAGCGAGATAATCCCCCGCAAATCGATTTGATTGCAGCGCAAGAACACGAGCAGCTCTGGAT